TCACCGCTGCCCAGTTCTCGTCTTTGCAGGGAACTTGGTTTCCTCTCCCCCCACACCCCTTTCCCAAAAGTGTCCTTATCTTTGAACTAGTTTGGCTCCTGGTACCCAGTGCCAAGGCCCCTGACCTCATCCCTGTAGCTTTGTGCGTCTTCTGTCACAGTTAACACTCTGCGCTCACTATATGCTCTCCAGAACACTATAGACACAGCCCTTTGAAGGTGAGAGGTAGAACCCAGTTCCGCTCAGCATCTAACCTGCTCCCTGGGAGGGGAATCTCCTGGTTCAAAGTGGAGGGCTTGCTGCTCTTTCCCCTCCACGGAGGGTGCTTCTCTTGGCTGGGGTAAGAAGTTGGAGAGGATATGGACCATACTGACGGAGGAAGGCCTGGGTTTGTTTGTTCAAACGCACATTCAGGGCTGGGTTGTTGGTGTCTTCCCCCATTTTTATCTTTTACCTATGCCTTGGGCTTATAAATTTGATATCTGCAGGTGAGGTTTGAATGACCTCCCAGGGAGAGCTGTGACACTATGCTGCCTATTCGGTGGGAGGTGGCTACGAATAGGAAGGAACTCAGGGATTGGTTTTACACATTATTGCTTTCTTGTAGACATTAACTGCTTGGATGGAATCATATCTCAGGGTCATTTAACCCACTGTGCCAAAATTCTCCATGAATCCTGTTTGAAAATTATTTTTTTTCAAATGCCCAACTTCACCTACAATCCTAAAACAATAAGGTAAAATATGGCAAGATGACTTTTCACTAACCTGATTAATCAAGGTTGTTTTATTTAAATATGTATTTATGTGTGTATATATGTATATGTTCATTTACATGTATATATTTATTGAAATATACATTTAATATATTATACATACCCATAGTGTCATAACTTATGACAAAGTAGACTGAACTGTTTCTTAGAAGCATAAAATGCTAGGAACATTCTAGAAAGACATTTCTAATTCCTATTAGGAACTGTGCATTGTTTTCACGCCCGTTGTGGTAAATGCGTGCGTCCATCTGGATCTGGCATGTGTGAGCCAGTCCTTACCTAAGTGCTCCGCCTCGGTTTTCTCATTTACCAAGGGGACAGGATGGCATGGTGCAGTCTGTCTCTCAGAAGAGATTTGCATGGTGGCCGTTGAGACAGTACCGGTCACAAATACAAGCTCTGATGGTGTTATTACTTATGCCCTTTTATTGTCGTTCTTTTAAAATGATCAGGAATGCTTTAAAAATGATCAGGAATGCAGATAAAGGTTTATGCATAAAGTTTTTTTTATTGTGGCCTTAAGTAGAAACGTGGAGACAGTTGTCCACACTGTAACAAAAATGACCTTTTTCTATTTGTTAACTTGAAGCCGCGATGTATCATGTAGTCCTTAAGAACATTGTTGACAAAACGTCCCTAATGGCATGGGGAAATGATGGTGGGACGGAGTTGAAAGTGCAGTGTGTCCACATTTCATGTAATCTCGTCTGTGTGAAAATCTACATGCGCAAGTTTGTGTGGAAAAAGTGCAAAAGAAAGTATAATGTCAATAGTAGTAGCTCTGAACTCTGGAAAACATTCTGAAGGTGAATTGCTTTTTGTTTATACTTTGAAAAATTATTTTTCATATTTTATTCTATAGCTAGCTTTGCTGTCAGGGAAATAAAATCACTGAATATATCTTGAACACTGCATAGTCTCTCTCCTGTGTAGATCACTACAGCTCTCACACTGGAGCCTTAAGCCAGCTTGCAGGTGGTGCCCAGTGGGACTGGCCACTTGTAGCCTGAGGGGACAACACCTCTCTGAGTGTAAGTTAGAACTTTAATATTGATCCTCGGTCTCCTGTTGATCTGGCTTCTGGCTTCCCGTATCATCCGTCATTCTAAGGTCTCCCAAGGAATTTTTCCCAAATAGATTTTGATTTCAAGCTTCTGAGGGGAAAAAAAAGCTGTTTCCTTGATTTTAGAAATATGTTTTTCTTTTTTTCCCTTAGTTTAATAAAAATCAGTCAACCAGCCATGATTCACATCGGGATCTCCAAGCATATTTCTTTAAGTGGCGCTGTGCTGGGGCCGGTGTATGTATGGCCGGAGTGCGGAGGGATTAATGCAGGAACTCCCCCAGACTGCTGTTTCGGAGCGGATTTATTCATAGGGTTGGGTATTCAATGCGACTCTTTGAACAACAGAATAAATATGGGCAGTGAACAGAAAGAGAAAGTCCAACTTTCCAACCGAAGTCGCTGTGCTCGACTGTGGACGGCAGAGCTGTAATCTAACTTGGATGGATGTGGCACTGTGGGCAACTCATGGTTGACTTTTATATTTTAGATGTCATTTATTGATTTCTCCTTTGCCTCTGGGTATCTACTCGATCACGCCGTGTGATACGCCATGGGGTTGATGGATGCCTTCTTACGGCTGTTTTAACAGGGAGCTATGGAAGGCAGCTGAGGTCCTGAGTGATGGCAGTCTGCACCCTTGAGCCCTTCCCCGCTGGCTTCTGGGATCTGAGTGTGCACATCCTGCCACATTGGCCTTGAGGTTTCCACAGACATGGTTGGGAGGGCAGAATCCATGGAAGGGTGTGTCAGTTCTTTCTCTCTTTCAGCCACGTCCTCCCCACAACCTGGGAAACAGCATTTCCAACAATGTCCAAACATTGTAAAATGAGGCGCATTATACAACCAAGGCGGTCACAGGTGGTTAGGGAAAGACAGCGAGCCAAGACGTTTAATGTAAAGAAATCCCATGGGGGCTGGAGGTCGTGGGCAGTGTGTTCAGGGGTTGGGTCAAGGGTAGAGTGAAGAGATGGGGAGTGCACTGAGAACAGAATCCAGAATGTCCGGAGAACTCCAGCGAGGTGGGAAGTGGGATAGAAATGCGTGAGGTTAGAAGTTCCGGACCGGAAGGAACAAATGGAGGGCGCGATGCACAGGGACCAAGTGAAGTCTACCAGAACACTTGGTGGGCGTGGCCTCTTGGGAGGAGTAGAGGAGGTCTGGGGAGGGCTGCTGAGAGAGCAGAAAGGACGGTTCACAGCCCAGCCGCAGCTGGGTGATGTACTGGGTACACATTCTGTTCTTCATGCAGACAGCTTGCAGAGCTCCCCAGGATGAGACAGATCAATAAATACCGACTTACCCTCCCCTCGGACTGCCCCAGAGACCCGCTTGCTTTGTCCTCAGAGTGTCACCGTGATGATTATTCTCCTTCTTGTCTCTGGCTGAGAAAGCTTCGGTCAGCTGCAGCTGTTCCGTAGCCTCACCGAACATCTGCAAATCTTGTCCGTGTGTGCCCAAACCCAAAGTGCTCTGCCCACACTTACTGGAGGAAGATGAGCTCATGGTATCCCAGCTACCGGGCCCCTTAGGAGGTAGTGAGTGTTTCCTGGGCTTCCATCCTCATAGGACAGACACTACCTTCACCTCGCTCTTATTCTCTGAAGCACTTAAGCTTCACCTCCAAGGCACACCTCCAAGGTTGTGCTTCTACCCTCCGAGGGCAGCACAGGGTAGGAACAAAGTGCTTGACAACATGCAGGTCATACACAGCCATGGGGGGCAGGGAACAGCCTCCCTCTCATATTTCCCTTAATGCGGTCACCATTTCCTTGGTGATGTTCTGAAGGGCCGTAGTAAGGACTCATTTGGCTCTTAGGGTACCACATATTGTCTCTAATGCTGGCCAAAGGCTGCCTGCTATTTGAAACTCATGCTCAGAAAAGGTCAGGGTCCTCGGTTTTGTGTGATGGAAGAGTTGAGGTTTTTGGAGAGGACCCTTTGACTTAACTTCTGGGGCAGCAATAGCGGGTCTCTAGGGCAATGGGCTCACGCTGATTGGAGTGCCGGCGTGGGAACGAGTTGTGCTTCCTGTACTAAGAATATCTGTCGATGATTAACAGTTGAATCAACAGTTAACATTTCCCCCAAAGCGCAGGAGTCAGATCTCTTTTAGCAGGGAACACAGATGCCATCTGTGTTGTTGACATGGGCTTTTTAAAGAGCGAGCCATGGCCCAGATCACTGTCATGACCTGTAATGTCAAGAGATGAAACAAGACCTCTGAGCCCTGGTAGGGTAGGAACAGGTGTAGACGCGTGCTCAGAGTCCCCCGGGGGAAACATGGGAAGGGCCCAAAACCAGAGCCCTTCCTCCCTGTCCTACACCTGAGCTCTTCTCATTTTGGCGGGGATTGGAATCCCTGGGTGTATTCTGCCGTAGCGATGGAGGATTATGAATGGGGCTTTGAGGGTAATTACCACTTGAAGGCAGAGCCGAGGACGTGCTCACCCACAGTGGCAGCCGAACCCGATTGAGCTCTGTATTAAAGGATGACTATTATATGAGGGAGAACAAGAGAGCGCAAGCTGCACCAGATAATTTGTTTTATGGCTTTAATCACCGCTGGTATGACAGAGCTGCTGAGAATCATCTATCAGGTCAGGAAAATGATTTTTTCCACTCACGGCCCTTCGTTATAATCCTATCCTCACTTAAAGACTAAAGTGTTCAAGCAACTCAATCCAATTATCTACTAACCCCACTCTCCCCATGCCAAAGGCAGAACATAGAGCACTGGCTCTGGAGGCCACGCGGAGCCAGCGCTGAGACAGGACTCAGCCCTTGAGGGCTCTTGTTCCTGGGGTGGGGTGAGAAGTTACAAGTAGTGATCACGCTGTTTCTACTGGACTGACCTTCTCTCTACCTCGTGAAGTATCTGTCACACAAAGCCCTAGTACTTGAAGGTCGTTCAATTGGAAAGAAATGAAAACTCAATTGCTGTGCTAGGCCTAGCATTTGCTAAAAACCATTTACTAAAAACCTCAAGCCCGCAATTTGTGCGAGTCCTCAGCTTCAGCCTTACTAAGGTGAGGCCTCAGGGCTACTCTCTAGATGGCTGAGCTGCGGCTGTGGCAATTGAAGCCCCTCTGCCCTGTGGCGTACTGATTAGATCTTGGCGCTTGAGCCTCAGGGCTGTTTCCCTCCTCTCCCTTCCCCAGACTGCCACTCTCTGTGCCAGCACTGCGTGGCTAGCCTCCACGACACCGGTAGTGTCTGCCTAAAGTGCCAGCATGCCCGTCACCTGCTGCTCGGGGATCACTGTGTGGCTGACTGCCCTCCTGGACACTATGCAGAGAGGGGTGCTTGTAAAAGTGAGTAAGTGCTGGACCGGGGTGGGGGTGGGGTAGGGGTAGGAGTAGGGGCAGGAGCAGGGCGGTGATGCAGGGGCAGGGGCAGGGGCAGGGCGGTGAGGAAGAACTTTTGATGTCAGAGAAGGCTTTGGTGTCTCAAAGAGAAAGGAGGCTGGAAGCACTGTGCAGGGCTGCAGCCTCCCCAGCCAGCGAGTGCCCCATCTGAAGTCCTCATCTCCACAGGTTGCTTTGGGAGTGCCGGCTTTGCCTTCCTACTGCTTGGACAGAATACCTGGGAAAAGCTAGTTAAAGAAGGAGGAGCTTGTTTTGTCTTCCAGTTGGAGGGAGGGTACAGCCCTTTGTGGCAGGAAAGTGGGGGCCCTGAGTGTGAGACATCTGGTTCCCCTGCATCCCCAGTTGGGAAGTAGAGAGGAATGAGTATTGGGGCTCAGTTTACGTTTTCCTTTGTAATCCAGGGAGTCAGCCCTCACAACGGTGCTGCCTCCATTTAGGCTGCGTTGTCCCACCTCAGTTAATCTCAGCTGGAGGCTCTGCCGCAAACATACACGGGGCTTTGTCTCCTCACAAGTCTAGACCATGGCAGGTTGACCACATTGACCATCACAAAAAGAGCATCCGGGTTCATAGTCTTTAGTTGTGTCTCTTTTCCCTCCGTAGGATGCCATTCTTCCTGCAGAAGCTGTCAGAATGGAGGACCCTTCTCCTGCTCCTCCTGTGACGTCGGTCTGGTTCTGACCCACATTGGTACCTGCAGCGTCACCTGCTTCCCTGGGTATTACCTGGATGATAACCAGGCTTGCCAGCGTAAGTGTGCTGAACTGTCTCCCCTGCCCTTCTGGGCCTTTGGAAGGAATGTGACGTTATTGCTTCCACCTTTTCCTCCTGTAGCCTTTGTTTTATCTAAGAAAGGAAGCTACTCTGTAAAGGCCATATGGATGCCGTTAGCAGACAGTGGCCAAGCTATCAGCCTAGGTGAAGGTGCAAGCCTTTCTAAGTGGTAGCTGTGATCTTGGGCGAGTCGCTGAACGTCTTGTTTTGGTTACCTCATGTAAAACAGAAGTGTTAGTTGATTTCATCTTTATGGTTATCGAACAATCCAGCCCTTTGATCCTGAGCAGAGACAGGAGCCTATACTGGTACACGGTCAGTGGGCTAGGCGCTTCTGTGGATTTATCTTCTACCTTTATCTACTGATACTGGCAACGTGCAAGGTATGACATGTGAAATGTTTCCACTTCCTCCCACAATGCTAGCTATTTCTTTTTCTGTTAAAATAGGAGCGGCGGTTACACGGAAACTGTATTCTTTCAAACACTGCCTGGCCCGGCTAGGTCCAGTTTCTTATTGGCTAGCTCTTACATACTGTTCTAACCCATTTCTAATATTCTGTGTAGCCCATGAGCTGGCTTACCAGAGAGGATCTTAACCTGCATCTGTCTGGAGCAGGAGCATCATGGCGGACTCACTCACTAAGCTGCTTTCTCCCAGAATTCTCTTCTGTTTTCTCCACCCACCTCCATCATTTTTCATACAAGAGTTACATGTATAGATGTCATCTCAAGCAAGTATGGGTATAATTAATTACATTGAATCAGACGTAAAACGTTTGGCTATATTAGAGAACTGATCTGGAAAACCATTAGGGCATTCTTCACAGATGAAGGGACAGATGAAGTCTGAGGCTCCTTACGTTATGCCAGTCATTGAAAGTCCCTCAAGAACCTGTCATCCTGGGGCTAGCGAGGTGGCTCGGCAGTGGCAAGCACCCGCTGTGTTGCTGAGGACCTGAGTTGGGTTGCCAGCCTACAACTGTCTGTCACTTCACATACAGATTAGATGTCCCCTTTTGGCCTTCACGGGCACTGCACACATGTAGTATTCATACATACATATAAGAAAGCACTCTATAAATACAAGTAAATAAATCCTTAAACATATGTTATATCTTTGAAAATCACCATGAACAAATACAGAGGTGATACTTCAGTTTTATGATATAGGAATTCTAATGTTGAAGGCATTATAGATTAGTGGTTTTGGGGAGTCTCTAGAATTGGGGGGGACTCTAGAAGTCTAAGTGCTAATGCCACTCACCAACATTATGCGCTTAAGGAAACCACCTTTGCCTGTGGGTCTTTCTCTAAAGGGGGGGGGGTGTCTTAGTTATATTCTTGTTGCTGTGGTAAAAATACCCCGATGAAGGCGACATAAGGGAGCCAGGGTTTATTTAGGCCTATCGTTCCAGAGGGATACAGTGCACCGTGAGAGAGAAGATCTGTAGCCGGCAGCCAAGTCATGGTGACAGGAACAGGAGGCTGATTGGAGGCATTGCATCCACAAACAAAAAAGGAAGCAGAGAGGGAACTGGAAGTGGGGCTGGGCTGTGAGAGGCCTCAAGGGCCACCCTCAGTGATCCGCTTATTCCAGTGAGAGTCTACTTCCTAAAGGTTCTGCGACCTTCCCAAACAACGCCAGCTGGGTACCAAATGTCCAAACATGTAAGCCTATGGAAGTCATGTGTCAATCATGCAGCGGGGAGCAGGGGACTTATAACAGTAGCTCCATCCTGAACTATAGCACTAAACACAGACCCTAGTTGAGAGTGATTTCTTCCCCCATAGATGAACCACTGTTATGGAGCCCATTCAGTGAAAGATACTTTTGTAGCCACAGACAGGAAGAATGGTGATGCCCCTAGTTCACTGAATTACGCATATAGCATTTGTATTTGTAGGGTGGTATATAAAACCCAGAGTTTTGCATCATCTTTTGAAAAGACAGGAACTTCTTTTGTACCAAAGGGAAGATTTCCTCACATTGTAATGAAGACTCGGCTTGGAATACATCAGCTGTCGGCCGGTACTTGGCACATTCTATACCGCAGCAGTGGCAGGAATGAAATACTTGCATTTCTATTCAAGAGAGTGTTTGTTGGCAGAGAAATAGTGACTTAGATTCACAGCCTCAGAATCACAGAAATAGGAACTCAAAGAAATAAGCGGAATCCCTTGTATAAAGTACAGGGAACAAAAGCACATCGCATTGCAATACTTCCTGGGGACGGCTTTCCCTTGTCCAGGTGGCCCCTGTACAGTCTGCTGTGCTTCTGCGGATATGGGGTCTCTTGGAGCGTTTCCTTTGAATTCAGACTCTCCTCACTCTCATTTTTAAGTTTCATTTTTTTCCTGTAATGGACTAAAATAAGCCCCTGAATTGGGCTGAGTTTCTGTTGTCTGAAGCACACAGAAAAGCATCAGCAATGCCCCTTTGTACGGCTCATCTTTACAGGCAATTATACCATGCCGATTTTAGAAAATGGGTGATAAAGGGGGTTTGAGGAATTGTAACCAGCATTATGGCAAGCAGCAGTAACTATCTTGCTAAAGAAAGTCGGGACTGTGGAACTCACAAGAGGCTGTTTTCAGAGCTATTTAAGAACTGCACTCTATTATCCCTAGACTTTCAGAGTAACCAGATGAGGTAGGAGGGCTAGAGAGTTGGCTCAGCGGTTAAGAACACTGCTTGCTCTTGCAAAGGTTCTGAGTCAATTCACAGCAACCACATGGTGGCTCACAACCATCTGTAATGAGATCTGGTGCCCTCGTGAGGAAGAGACCTGGTCAGTCATCCTCATCAGCTTAGACCATGAAACCCAATATGGGGCACCCATGCATGCTTCAGCATTGCCAGGGCTTTAATTTCAATTCATTCAGATGAGGTAGGAACTCTGTGCTTTGGAGTTTGGGAAGAGCTACAGAGCGCCTGAGCCAGCCTTGAACTTAGAGCAGGGATGGGTAAAGGAAAAATGTCAGCTTCCCTGTTGGGAGGACTGGTTGACCTGTTTTTTGTCTGACTGGCTGTAGAATTTCTCCATGGAACAATAAAGAACAAACCCCCTCCGTTGTTCCCATATTTGCCTTCCAGAGTTTGTGATTAACTCATTTCCCTCCTGGACTTTGTTCAGGGCAGAGCTGGAGCCAGTGGGGTGTTACAGCAGAGGCATTGGGCGTTTTTCATACCTGAGTTGGGTTGCATATTAAGAGAAACGGTGAGCTCCGTGTACTGTGAAGTCCCTCCCTCACTGATGAAGGACACTGGTAATATATCTCTGTTAGAGATGTCTCTGTTACCATTCTCTGGGAACTGCCTCTGCTTCTCTGAGTGAGGTCCCGCTGACATGGCTGCATTAGAATGCACCTTCATGTAGGCTGGATGTTACATATGATGCAGAGAGCACCAGCCACAGGCGTCTGGCAGGCAAGGGAAGCCTTCCCAAGTGAGGAAACCTCATTCCAAAGCATTGCACAGACCCCTCCTTGCTCACTTTTGAATCCATGGCTTCCTTGTTCACTGCTTGTTGACATGCATATGTTTTATACAGGTGATTCTAGATTTTGTCAAGTTGACCATTATCACTGACTACAGTGTCTCACTGATCGCAGTGCCCTCGTGGAGTAGCATTTCAATTGTATTTTAATAAATAAAGTTGCTTGAAGCATCACTCCCAACAGAGTACATTGCAAGGGGGTCAGACTAGATATGGGAAAAGCAGGGAGACTGTATGAGAGTGTTCCAGCAGGGAGGACTGTATGAGAATCCTCCAGTAGGGAGGATGTATGAGAGTGCTCCAGTAGGGAGGATGTATGAGAGTGCTCCAGTAGGGAGGACTATATGAGAGTGCTCCAGCAGGGAGGATGTATGAGAGTGCTCCAGCAGGGAGGATGTATGAGAGTGCTCTGGCAGGGAGGATCTATGAGAGTGCTCCCGTAGGGAGGATGTATGACAGTACTCCAACAGGGAGGGCTGTATGAGAGTGCTCCAGCAGGGAGGACTATATGAGAGTGCTCCAGCAGGGAGGACTATATGAGAGTGCTGCAGCAGGGAGGGCTGTATGAGAGTGCTCTGGCAGGGAAGACCTATGAGAGTGCTCCAGTAGGGAGGATGTATGACAGTACTCCAACAGGGAGGGCTGTATGAGATTGCTCCGGTAGCGGAGATGGTAACCTCGGTTCATCTGCACTTGTGGACATGGGAAAAGCATAAAGTTTCTCATGGAGCATTTGAACACCTAGGATTCAGTGAGTATTTAGATATGTATGGACAAAGGAAAGAATCAGGATAGGCGCTATGATTTCCATCATGGATAGCTGAGTAGAAGTGATTGTTGTTAAACTGGAGAGATGAAAACGGACCAGTTCGGGGCATCTCCAATGAATCAATTATGTGCCAGGCTGCTGAGAGTTATAACTGGGTAAGCCAATAAACCAGGTCACGTCTAAGTCCAATGTCTTAAAATACAGGATTTCACAATCTCCACAATAAAGTTGTCACCTAAAAATAATGTGTGTCTATAACACAAATGATGGGAGAGGGGTTGATTTCCTAAGTAATGTTCAAATAAAGTCATTGATCTTAGAGTCAGTATGAATCCTGTTGCTAAAAATCACAGAGCAATTTGGATCTGGGATTCTTGTCCTTGGATTTATATTTATCTCTAGGAAAATGTATTACCTTCTTCTATTTTGGGAAATAAAGCTAATATTTTCTGTTTCTGTTGCTCACAGAGGAAGGTTATGGGCCATAATTAAAGGGCAGGCTGGAGTGGGGCTTCGCTCTGCGGTAGCATCTGTCTAGCCTTGCCCTGGGCCTCCATACCTGTGGTTGTAATCATCTGGTCATTTCCCTTTCCTGTCCACTCAGCATGCAACACGCATTGCAGAAGCTGTGATTCACAGGGCGCCTGCACCTCCTGCCGAGACCCAAGCAAGGTCCTGCTCTTTGGGGAATGCCAGTACGAGAGCTGTGCCCCCCAGTACTACCTCGACATCCCCACCAAGACTTGCAGAGGTAACGCTTTTCCTGAGCTGTGTGGGGATTCCATTATTCTGGGATATTCCTTTGCTCGAGACACCCACTCCTCATCTTAGGCAAACACTGCCATCAGGTGTTTTCCACTTTCTGTGAGGACAGCAACAATGAATTACTGATGCATGCGTTCATTTATTCATCCATGTTTGAGTTCCTTCAAATTGCCCATACTCAAATGGGTGAGAACACCAAGTATCTTCTCCTTGCTCACCAGTAGCTGGAATTCCTATGGTAGAGTTAAGCCTGGGAAAAGTGGGGTTTGATGGTTTTCCTTGTCTCTTCTTAGGCTGGCTTCTCTCCTTCTAACCCTCTGGTTCTGCAGAGAAGGTCCAGCTCTGAAACAGAGGTCAAATGCCCGACAAATAAACTCGGGAAGCCCTCGGCCTCTGCACACTTTCCATTCTAAGAAATAGGACTTGGTTGTCAACTTAGGTGGTCTTTGGTGTTCACAACCGCAGGGGCTTTTCTGGTCTTTTTTTTTTTCTAGCCAGAGCCTGTCAGTTTGTGGTGAACAACAAGATTCTCTCAGATCCTTCCATGTTGCAAATGGTTTCATAACTGTGCTGGTTTTCAAGTCTCTGTTTTTAGTCATCTTCCCTCAGGACTGATTCAGCCAAATAAATGATGGAGATTAATTTTATAAACCTTCAGAGCAAATGTGCCATTTTGCGCATGTACTTGCTACCTAAGGACTTAGAAGTACAGCATGAAGGAATAGAGAAATGAGTTCTTGCAGCTTCCTAGCTTGGTAGGAAAAAGGGGTTGAGACAGCCTTGGGTGAAAACATGTTCTCCAAGAAAACCAGTTCCTCCACAAACCCCTGTAGAGCTGTTAACATGTACTGGGCATTGTACTTGTTAGTTACTGTGATTGAAGCCAGGAAGCCCCATCCTAAGAGCAAGCTGTATTGCAGAATTCCTTCTCCGGCCTCTGTTCTAATTGTTTACATCCGTTGCTTCATTTTGTCTCTCCAGTGGCCTTAGTAAATACGCATCAACTAGTGTATGTTTAATTCAGGCGTCAAAGGATTAAGGAAGGCAGTCAGGAAAATGCAGAGGAAACTCAACAAAACGATGGTTTAATAAACTTGCCCTACTTCAAAACTCACGTACTTCCCCAGACTGTTCCCTTCCATCACCCTGGTAGGAAAGACCAGCTAGAACATTGCCTCTCGAACATGAGCTTTCTTATTGCACCGGTGTTTGCCGGGACATCATACCAGCCACAAACACGATCGTGATTCTAACCAGATCACCCAGAAGAGCAGCAAGATGCTTCTCTTTACCCCAGCCCCCAAGGCTCCCAAGTCAATAGGTCTGAGGCTGAGCTTGATGAATATTTCTGACAGTCTCCCTGGACCACTGAGGTTCACATCCAAGGCTGGCCTTATTGTGGTACAAGCTTTTGGATGCCAGGGTCTATGTATCTCACTCCTATGTTCTCCAGATGCAGTGAACTGTTGCTTGTTGAACACAGGAACATTTAAACAACTTCCTTCTGCTCTAAATGTGGTGTTCCATTGTCCAGTATTCCCCTTCTTTCTGGAGCGTTCTATACACATTGTCTATTCTTTCTGCCATGCTGTCCCCATCAGGTTTTAAATAGGAAGGGTCATGAAGCTGGCGTCAATGGCGGTGACAGCATTCTTAGTTATGTCTCGGATATCTCTCTAGCTCGTGAGCCCTGAGTATTTAGAGGTCAGGATTCGGTCAGCGGGGGAAGGGGGGCACTCCCTAGGATAGGTTGGGGCGGCATGAGGCTGAGGTACTCGGGTGCCCCTGGAATGAGGCCAAGACGATCTGACTCTCCAGAAGCAGCCCCGCTGACAAGGAGCTCTGCACAGGCATGGAACGCTCCTTGTACATGCCTGTGTTTGACATAATTAGGAAACGACGCATTTAAACACCTACAAGCTGGGGCTTCGTTACAGCTCGCTTATCTGACATCTCTGGTGTTGTCCTCGATTTCCCTCTCCCAGACACAGACTGTGGCCTCCTAAGTGGGCTGCTGGGAGTAGCGAAGAGGACGCTGATCTAACGGAGACTTTCTTTCTAGAGTGTGACTGGAGTTGCAATGCTTGCAGCGGGCCTCTTCGGACAGACTGCCTGCAATGCATGGATGACTATGTGCTCCAGGATGGCGTGTGCATGGGGCAGTGCTCACCGGGCCACTACCGGGACGCAGGTTTCTGTAAGCGTAAGTATCTGTCTGTGATCTCTGCAGAGCCCATGGCAAATTTCCGTCTGGCTTCTCTGCTGGTCCTGGTTTCCTTCCCCAGGGCTGTCTTTGTTGTCAGCGATGAGTCCCCTTCTCCTTCGCCTATACCCTAGCAGACATATGCTAAAATCCGATGTCAGCATGACAGCCATGGAGTTATATGCCCACACAAACATTCGTGTCAACTATTAATTCTGATTTCCTTAAACATTTGACAATCCTGTTCTCTAGATAGAACGCTTTGTATCCCTAGGAATTTGAACCAATGGAAAGACTGATAAATAATTATAATAAAAATAAATATTTGTCAATCATTTTAGTGTTCGTCTAGCATTTTCCACTGTGTGAGCCACACTTCTTAGGAAGAGTTGGGGACGATAGTTTCACTTCTGTTATGTAGGAAGAACATTTTGTAGAGGTAGAGCAGCTTAGCCCCAAGTCCTTGACCGATAGCTGTAGCAGTCTCAACCAGGCCCAGGGTCCCTAGTTCATCCTGGACTGCTTTGCTGGTGTTCGGGTCCTGCTGCTACCTGACCCTTCCCATAAGTGCCCAGAGCCCACTTGGAAACTACATAGATTCCTGTTGACTTAACTTCTACCTTCCAGGGTGCAACAGCCACTGTCTCCAGTGCCAGGGTCCCCATGAGTGCACACACTGCGAAGAGCCATTTCTCCTCTTCCAAGCCCAGTGCATCCAAGAATGCGGGAACGGATACTTTGCAGATCATGCGAAACACAAATGCACAGGTACCTCGAGTCTTTGCTGCGAGCTTTGGGAAGAACTCGGGGCAGCCAGTGCGTCACGTGCACTCAACTCTCTCCAGTAACCAGGAGCGGCTCACACAGGCTCAGAATAGCAGTCAGGAGCTTGGTCTAAGTAGTTGATAGCTTCCCATGTATGTCTGCCAGGTGCTGGTTAAACAGGATAATACAGGAGTACAGGCCAATAATTCTCTCGCAGGAATCAATTCCGTTCCTGAAGCTCTTTGTGGAAATGAAGCCAACATTTTATGGAACGCAAAGCTTCATATTGAATGACCGTGTGGTATCCATTAAGAGTGGATCAGCCATATTGATATGGGCATAGAATTTTCAGCATATAGACTAAATCATTCATGACCCCAATATTGATACTATAGCCTTGAAGAATAGGATTTGGATGATAATTTCGTGAGAAATACTGAGCTTTTAGGAGTAAACTGAAGCTAAACCCAAAGTCTTAACCTCCTTGTACATGGGATCATCCCCAGAAAAAAAAATTCCCATTAGCATTCATTTCTATTGAAACCTGTTGCCCAATGCACCCACAAGAAAGAATACTCGACATTTAATAATAATGTCATTAAGAAGCACAGAGAACTTGAGTCTTTGCTGAATGTTCTGAAAAGAACTCCTTGAGTTTTATGTTTCTCCGCGTTTTCCTCATCTGTAATATCTCATTTAATGTTCCCAATGACTTGGTGAAATATGATAGACTGAAAGAATCTTGCTTACAAGTATGAAAACAAAAGAGACTTTGAAGTCTTAAGGCAGCGTATTCAGCCCTGGATTTCTGATTCCAGTTCAGGACTCTTTACACGGTCCTACATAGCTTCACCATTATAAATCCCAACTAAGGAGACAGGACAATTAGGCAGGAAGCTCTCTGTCTTCTCAAAGGCTGTTAGCTTGATCCAAAGCAGAAGTCCTCTGGGTCTTTCGAGAGCTAGCTCTCTAGATGTGGTTAACTACTGACACTCTTCCCGCTCTCAGGCCACAGAGCCGTGGTGTGGTGGAACAGCTGAGCCCTCCCGGTGTGCCTGACATTGTAAAATCAGATTGTAGTGCTTGTGGTCCTCCCAGCTACTGTCCATATTAGGTTCCATTTCTACCGTCATTGTTAAGACAAGAACCTTGCCGCCCAGACTGTAAAAGACACTTGTCCAGGGGCACAGCTGGTAAGATGTAGGGGAGGAATGATACCCCCAGCAGAGCTGATGCTCTTAGTCTCTCTAAACACCGCCTCTTACAAGTCAGTAAGCCTTTTAGAACATCCGTCCGAATGTAGCGTTCTTGAGATGACATTGCATAAATTGAGTTGTAGACCTCGCGATTCTGCTTCCCCCAGAGGGGAAACCAGCTCCCTAGGAATATCAGCAGGGAAACTGCATTCTCTTTGGTTGCAATGAGGGGGCTATTTATTTGTTGCAGTCCCTTTTCTTTCCCTGTGTGGTCCAACCGGGGGCCGTGGCTTGGCTGTGCCTTACTTGTGTCTTCTCTTTGGCAGCCTGTCCTCAGGGATGCTTGCAGTGCAGCCACCGAGACCGGTGTCACTTATGTGGCCGTGGCTTCTTTCTGAAGAGTGGTCTCTGCATGCCCACCTGTGTCCCCGGTTTCTCTGGCCACTCATCTAATGAAACCTGTGCTGGTAAGTCCATCTCTGCTGGACTTAACGTCTGGTGATGTGAGCAGTCATTTCTCCGTGCAAATGATGGGTCTCCAGATACGGTTGACACCTGTCATGTGAAACTCAACATTCCTGCAGGGCAGAAACCCCTGGTGCTACATAAGGCACTATTTGTAGAACATAGGCAATTAGGAAAACCTAACTCTTAATTTCTTTGATCTTGGGATGAAAAAAGGGGGGAGGAGATCTGTGCCTTAAAAGTCTTAACTATCAGAGAAGGAATTTGGTATAGGCTCAGGTGTGTTCTTGAATTGCAGCCATGCTTTAGGAAACCACGTATAGATTGCATGTCTAACGCATTGTTTGCGTTCGTGTAAACTTGTTTAGCTAATTCTGCCGAGGTACAGTGGTGCATCTTTCATGCGCACGGTGGAGAGACGTTCTAAATGAATCGTGGAGGAGGAGACTGTTCCATTAACTGCAGGTGTTTGAAGTCAATCGATCGGAAGGGGCTCTGTTAGGAGCAATCTCTTCTAACACAGAACAGACATCTCTCTTTAAAAAGCAAAGAGAAATGAATTTAAATTCAGCCCAGTTGTGAACCCTGTGTTTTTTAGGCACATAAAGCTTGAGAGTTCTCCCAGGGCCTGGAGTTCCCTCGGGTTAATTAGTCAATAACATGAGGGCTCTTTTTGTTTTGTTTTGACGGTGTCGGGGATTGAACCTGGGGCTTCATGCATACTAGGCTAGTAGTCTACCCTTGAGCCACGACCCCAGCAGTGTCACAGGGCATTTTTTTTTTGTGACAGCCCAAACACGTAGTCTATCTCCACATTTTTGATCTCTAAAGATATTAGACCTTTTTAAAAAGAAAAATGACCTCTCTCTGGCCTCCTTTATTGGAATTTTCCTGGGAACCACAAGCGCTTCTGAGTTAGCTTAAGACTCTTGGGATACCACACACGTCAGCTTGTGAGGATGGATTTCACTTTCATTAGAATAATTTTATGTAGCAGTCACTCCCGTGAAACTTGGCATTCCCACATTGTCCTCTGTGACCCAGTTGTCGAAGGGAACACTGCCAACTAGAGACCTTGACAAAATACCTTGCAGTAGGAAAGATCAATTCTACATCCTTGTTGAGGATCCTAATTTATGAGATGTTCCGTGTGGACAGACGGTCAAAATCTTCTGGCACTCTGTATGTTCTGCCCAGGAATTCCGACTCTGAGCCATTCCTCTGCGGATTCGCTGCAGCTCTTCTAGGAACGGCATCAGACACCTGCCTCCGCTTACTCTTGCTGGATCCGATGTGCCAAGAGTGTCAGGGAAGGACTGTGGCTTTCAAACCTGCCAGTCCATTAGCATTGCCTAGAGAGTCTATAAAATTAATGAGATCCATCTCAGAACATGTCATTCAGAATCTTCCGCAGTCAGCCCAAGTGTCCCTATTATTATAAAATAGCCCTGTATGCACTCTTGTTTGAGTTATTAAGACATAACACATACAAAATATCTATCCTTTAAATTATATTGCCTAGTGATTTTCTTTAGTCCATTCACAAAGCTGTGTGACAGTCATTAATATCTAATTCCGGAACATTTTCATCAGCCTAAAAGAGAGCTTCATAACCCTTAACAGTCTCAGTTTCCTGTCTCTCTAGCCTCTGCTGATCTCTGATTTCCCTTCTGTCTGCAGATTCGCCTACTCTAGACATCCCCGATCATTAGAATCACACAGCACATACATAGCCTTTCATGTCTGGCTTCCACATCTGGCCGAACGTCAGAGTGTATCCAGGTTACAGCCTGCATCTGTATAGCATTCCATTCCGTTTTTATGGCTGCTGTAACTATGTCTTATGGATATACCACATTCTTTTGATCTATTTACTTCTTTGCCTCTGTTTCTGTTTGTTTTTAGTACTGAATATTGAAGCCATACTTGGTAGGCAGGCACTATTACTGAGCCACATATCCAGCCTTTGTTTATTTTTTTATTAATTGTTTCTTCAATTTGCCTATTTGAGCAGTGTTGTTATGAACATCCACAGGAAAGTCTTTGTGTTAGGCATATTCTTATAGTTCTCCATGGCATCTGCTTGTAGTACTGTTGGGGCACATGGTCACTATGTTTTATTGAGGAACTGACTATATTTCTAAATGATTGCACTGTTTCCCATACTTACTAACTAGTGAGGATTCTAATTTGTTCATGTCTTGCCAGCAATTATTATTATCTATCCTAAGAGAGAGGAAGTGCCATATAATTGAGGTTTTGATTTTCATTTTGGTAACTTACGTTGGATGCCTGCTTGCATGATTATTGGCCTTTGTGTGTAGATCTTCAGAGCAAAACTTATTCAATTTCTTATGCATTTTTAGTTTGTCCTTCATTGTTGAGATATTAAAACCTGTTATATATCCTAGATATAAGTCTGGGTTTTTTTTCCCAGATTGAGGATTTGCATTCTCTCTCATTCTAGGGGTTGTCTTTTATATTGGTGTTTTTAAGGACAAATGTTTTAAATTTAATGATTCCAATTAATTTGTTATTTTTTTCTTTCATATCTTACACAGTTTTGCTGTGCCCAAGCAATAATTGCTAGCTTTTTTTTTTTTTAATTTATTTCTATGTTGTCTTCCAACGAGTTTGTACTCTAACTCTCTGTCTAGGCTCTAGTGTCCTCATGCATCCAGATGAGACTCCTTGGGGTAGGCGGATGCTGGAGTTGTAGAATAGCCCAGATGTCCTCTGTGTGCCTCTGAATTAGCACTGAAGTCCCATTTCTTTACAATGAATACTTGGAATCCAATTAGTGACTCTGCCAAGTCTGACCTTTGGGTTCATCCATTTTCTAGACAAAATGTACACCCCAAGTCTTCACGTGAATGGCACCTTGACCCTTGGTATTGGTTCAATGAAGCCCCTGGACTTTTCTCTCCTGAACGTTCAGCACCAGGACGGCAGAGTGGAAGACCTGCTGTTCCACGTTGTCAGCACGCCCACCAATGGCCAGCTGCTGCTCTCGAGAAACAGCAAAGAGGTCCAGCTGGAAAAGGCCGGCCACTTTAGCTGGGAAGACGTCAATGCAAAGGAAGTACGCTTTGTCCACAGCAGAGAGAAGCCCAGGTGAGCCAGCCAGCCCTGCTCTGCGCCTGCTGTCTCTACCCCCACCCTCCTTCTTAATAACCACCCCTTCCCACCGGGAAAGATCGATACTCCGCAGTGCTTCCAGCTGCCTGTCAACCTTCCCCTGTAATTGCTTCGAGAGTATGCTTCTGTTTGAGGCATTTTCATTTTATCACGTAATTATGGGTAATTCTCTGGTGTGACAGGAAAATTCTGAGTATAATTACCCAGGTTTTTGGCCCCATGGAAAGAAAACTTGTTACATAGCCAGATGCTGGAGTTGCTCCTCCACACGAGGGCAATGCTAGGTAGTCCTGGGCAGGCAAAAGATGGAAGACTGGCTTGTTAAAGTGCCCTTTGACCCCTGGAATTTGGGGAGAAAACTTGTAGTCACACTTGACTTTTTATTATCCTCTTTATGGGATTACTTGTGGCTAATTTCTAGGCGTGAACCAGTTTTCCCCTGGTGCTGCACACATTTCTGGCTGTCTTCCCTATCCTGACTGACACTTGCTTCCGGAATGCAATCGAACATTAACAAGAACCTAAGCAAATATAGCGTTATAATTAACAAAGTCAATCTACTAAGCAGAAAGCACAGAATGCGCCCCCAAAGATTGGCCTCTTGTGTTCTCCGTCACCCTGCTCTGCTTTGTTAGCCCAGATAACTCACCACAGACTGTGTGTGAACAAGGTATTGAAGCCCATGAAGCAGGGCTAGGACATCTCTGAATGTTTCCTGCTGCCAAAACTAAACATGGGTGTTTCTCTTCTTACTTTTATCAATTGGTTGGTGGAGATTTAGGCTAAAAGTTATCTGAGAAGAATGATGGAAGTTTTTCTATCATCACCCAGAGTCAATGATTTCCGTGATCTGCGCAGATTGTATCACAGGAGCAAGAACAGCTAACATTTACTGAGCTCACGTGGAGCCAGGAATCATGTTAGGCATTCCATGCGAGCTGTGCAAATTATGTTCCCATTCTACAGCCTGGAGAACATGAGTAACAAGTCCAGAGCTGGTCCTCCAAGCCGACACGCTCCATGCCTTCAGCTGTGATGATTTCTGCCTCCCTACTATTCTAGTGATAACAGACTTGCTCTAGTCCTCAGAGGGTGGGGTTAGTGTACAGCAAGCACACACTGCTGTGCCGTGTTCTGCCATTCAGTCATTCCCCAAATTCTTCTCCACCACCTATGCTTATATTGGTTGAAAGTATAAGCCTCATTCTTAAGTAGCTGTGTCTCTCCCCACACACACCATCTCTTGGACACACATACACACACATGCATACATGTATGTACACACATACCACATTCACAGAGCTACACAAACTCTTGAGTCTGGGCCCATTTGCCTTAAAGTCATTTGTGGAAAAATGCAAAGGTCCCTAGACAGCCAAAGTTAAGCTTCTTGTCTATTTAATTTTCTCCACACCTCACCCAATTTCTTGTAGAATTAGTTCTGCACTCTTAAATGGGATAAAACTCAGCAATTTGGGTCTTTTTTTTTTGTAGTACTCTTTCCTGGGATGAATATCCATTTAAATATTGCATTTTCTTTATCTAAAAAAAAATCAAACAAAATGACAAAAAATAATAAAATGAAATGGGAGAGACACATAAAACATAAAATCATTTGTCTCTCAATGAAACAAAAAGAGCCAGTCTGACATACACATGTATGTTTCTTTGTCTTCATGAAAGCACTGGCCATGATTAAGATAAGAACTCTTGAGAATTGAGTCCCTTTGGGCTTAGATACTCTTGTGTCCTAAGAGCCAGTCTGTAGGTGTAGCCACAGCAACCAAGAGGAACTGAGATACTGAGCACTCCTAGTGCCCCCAGTGCCTGCACAGTCCATTGTCCTCCTTCGTTCATGCTGCTGGTTAGATTCGTCACGTTCTCCTGAAGCTTCGAGGTGGGAGTGTGGAGCAGCAGGACGGAAAATGAATGGGAGGAAGAACTTGCAAAAAGAGCAGGAAGGTCTCCAATGCTTGGTACTCACAACTAGAATCCCCATTCAGTGAAATTCTGTTTAAAGGTGTTCAGTTCCATGAGGTATACAATGTGTATACAATGTTGTTAAAAAAAAAAAAAACAGTTCCATCGACCCTGCTGTGGCCTCCTTTAAAAAAAAATTAGTTGCTCCTTTTATCCATGTCTCTGTTAGCTGTGACCTGGTTTTTTCCTCATAGTTTTACCCTTTTTTAAATGTCATATGACTAGAAACACAACATGTATGTTTTGTTTCTGCAGTTGCTTGGATCCACTCACATATTTCAGGCATGAGTAGTTGGTTCCCAGAATACCTTTCAAAGAACCTTTAAAAATGGACCCCCAAATCGACCAAAATCTATAATCTCCTATAATGTGTTGACCACACATTTTGCCAGTCAGCAGTGAGCTGTGCTTGGCTGGTCAGCGAAGACAAACAACTCTGCCTTCCCTCCTAACAGGGCCTGAAGCTATTAGACATCTGGGGTAGGAAGTCAGCCCACAGCAGACTGAGGCTTCACTGGATCTTTTTGATTATAAGTAGTAGAAATCAATTTTGACTAAGCAAAATAAATAATAAGACTGCCCTAACATTGCAGAGGTGGCTCATACCTCAACGACATTAAGAGCAATTGCTCCAAGGGAAGTTCAGGAGCTAGAACTAAAAGATGGGAGTAGGACCCAGGCCTTGCCCCATGTCTGCTCACGGGTGTCATCCGCCTCCTTCCTACAGATGGCCTTGTTCCGTATTCTCCACAACATACTAGTTTATGACAGCCCGTGGTCAAATGGTCAGACTGCCTCTTGGCCAACAGACTACTCCCAGCTTTTCAGAGCTGACCCAGTTATCCCTTCTTAGCTGTATCCACAGTAAACAGGTTTAAGGAGCGGGTAGGAAGCTAGAAATGGCATTTTGCAGCCCAGTACCTCAAACACTGTTGGGGCCCACTTACAAGAATTAGGAAGGAGTGTGCATCGCTGGGCTAAAGATGTCCGTGAAAGATGGCGGAGCTCTACGATTCCTTTCCATTCTTCAGTTTAACCGTTACCTAACCTGTTTAACCACCACAACCAATCTAGTCCAACAAGTAGTTTTTCGTGTGTGTGTGTGTGTGTGTGTGTGTGTGTTCATCTTTAGAAAATATGAAGCAAAACTGTGTTTTTTTTTTTAAAGACAGGGTTTCTCTGTGTGGTCCTGGATGTTCTGGAACTAGCTATCTGGCATTGAGTTCAGAGATCTAGCTGCCTCATTAATATTAATGGGATTAAAGGCATTCTTCAGCAGCCTGGCTTAGGTTGTGTTGTTTTTATGTTACAATGAGATCTTAGAACACAGAGTAGTTGCAGAAGTGTGTTATTGTGTGTGTATGTGGAGGGTTGTGAGTATGAATGATTTCAGGGACATATGTGTCACAGCACACGAAAAGGTCACAGGATGACTTTAAGGGTCAATTGTCTTCTGTCATGAGATTTGAGGAGCTGAGGTTATCAGGTTTGCATAGCAAATGCTCTTACCCACTGAGCCATCCAGCAAGACCCGTGAAGAAGATTTTTAACCAGTTTTAACTTTGGTACTTTCTGTTTACAGTGCAGATATTGTATTACTGCAATGATTTGATTTAAATTGTTGTAGGACTACAGCTTGAAGATATTTTAATCCTTTTCTTTCTAAACACTAATGTCGTGATCATGTCCTCTCCTTTCTCCCTTGGGGCCTTCCTTAGGAAAGGCTACTTTTCCTTGAAAATTAGCGACCAGCAGTTCTTCTCTGAGCCACAGCTGATCAACATACACGCCTTTTCAACTCAGGTAATAAAATTGCCCAACAACGCACAAGGTGACGTACCCACTGGTCCTCAAGAACAGCTCCAGAGATCCTGAACCTTTAACAAAAACGGTTGAGCTGAGGTGATGTTCTCACAGTTTTACCATGAAATGACATTTGGTTTACTTTTAGTTCTTTGGATGATCGCACTGACAGTAGTAATTTTCTTTATGCATCTCTGTCCTGTGTAAATTTCACGTGGTTCTGAGTGAAATTGCCGGCCAACCCTCTGAGGTAGCGTCAGTTTACAGATGCGAAAACTAAGGGACTGGAAATCCGCTACATTTGCCGGAGTGACCTAGTTAAAAAAAAAAGTCAAGTTTGTGTCTGGAGAGTTGGCCTCACAGTCTGTGTTCTAGACGGTGGCCTGTTGGCACCGTGAGGAACTGAACTTGAAGCTGGATCTGCAGAATAACTTAAAACTGCCCCAGTTGTTAATGTTTTCCTTGTTCTTAGGTCGTTTATTTTCTCTCCACAGCCCCTCTCAGGGGTGTAATAGTTACAGCGCTGAGAGCATCCTGTTAGGAATCTACTTAAATGAAGTGTCATTGTGGTCAAGAGCAAACAGAGACCCAAGGAAATCATTGAAGAGGCAAGGAAATTCAAGAAAATGGCCCTTGACGTTCATGTCTTTACACTGCCTTGAGAAGTTGTGTTTCTGGACCAATAATCCATGTAGAGGGACTGAATCAGTGAAATGTACAAAAAGAATAAACACACACACCACACACACACACTCATATCTGTAGAATTCTCACTTGGGTGCTGTGATTAGTCTGAAGGATACTCTAGTTTTACATGTTTATCTCGGTCCACTGAACAGCAAGATGGTGAGATACCATCTTCAGAAACCAGATACCAAATACCGAGACCTCGTATCTTCAGTCCCGAAACTGACCACAGACTGTAACAGCAGAAGCTTAAGGCAGAAGTGACTGCCGAGTGATGGTGATACCTGCCTGGGCTCCTCTTATTGACACGGCCACACCAGAGGTGCTGTCCCTAGGGGAGATTAGAAACTGGGCCTAAAGTCAGTGTGTAAAGCTAACACATGTAACTCTGTAAACAGGGGCCAGTCTTGAGACTCAGTGCCTTAGATGTTCTTTAGTTCTTAAACTCAGATATCTTGATTTTGCTTTTTGTATCTCTGTTAAATACAGTCTGGCCAATGAAAGATCTGAGGTAGATATTGAGAAAAAGCCTTCTGCTCTGAGACACTGTGTTCCCACAGCGTCCTGGACTTTGTTTGTTTCTCCACAGTCAAGGGGACAAATGACAATGTCATGTTTCAGTTTATTTATTTATTTATTTATTTATTTATACGATGCACTTTCATCAATTTAACATTTTGAGGATGGACTTTTAGGAGAAAGTTTAACTTCTTTTTGTTATTTTAAGTATGTATAATCTATCGTTGTCATCTTGACCCTGAGGTTTTCTCCTGTAACTTGATTTGGTATGTTATTTTTGTAAGATTTTTTAAAAATATCATCCTTGGCCTCTCCTCTTTATTTCTCTGCACAGACTTACACACAGTGTGAGAGTTCTCTCACCTGGGAATACTGAGTAGCTGCACCATATGTGACTATTAGAGTGATGTATAGTTACATATTATGATGATGGACGATTGTGACTTCCAGGAGACCGAAGTGGGGTGCTTGTGTGGTTTTAAAAGCCATTTGGGTTAAAGAAGATGTGTGTTGAGGAAAATCCTAGACAGTTCTACTTCAAACATAAAAACTAAGATAGCATAAGATATCATTTGCCTTGACTTCTGGCCTTCTCTCTCTCTCTCTCTCTCTCTCTCTCTCTCTCTCTCTCTCTCTCTCTCTCTTCTTTCATCTCTCTTCTCTCTTCTCCCTATTTTCGTCCTTCCCTCCCTCCATGTGTATGGTGGGGGATGAGGGTGTATTTTTCTGTGGTTCATTAACTTTTCTCTTTGTGAAAGAACATATATCTTCTTTCTAAAGTAAAGTAACAGGAGCAAGCAGACAATTCTTAGGAGAACATACTAACCTTTGCTGTGTTAGCAGAATCAAGTGAATTGGGCAGGTGGTTGTCTTACCAGGCCATGGTCTTGGATCTTATATGACTTTATGAGCTAAATTGGGGTGGGGCTCTGCCAAGACATGGATGGAAGTGAGAAAATGTTGCTTACCAGGAAGGCCTAGCAATAGCAAGGATTCAGAGAGCGGAGTTATGCCACTCCGTCAGCTTGTTTCCTTGTGGCCTAGAGTGAAATGTTCTCTCCCAAACACAAGGCCCAGAATTACATATCTATTGGATTCAGGCATCTGATTTTGTTTCCTGACACTGAGCTGTGTTCTTGTGCTAATGCAGGGGGTGTGGTTCAATCCAAGATGGCCAAGAAATTAGAAACCCAGAAACAAGTAGCACTTGTGGATTGCATTGTATCAATACTGTGGTCTTGAAGTGACTTGAGAAACCTCTAGAATCCAGAGGCGTGGAATAACCCTTATCATTATGGCCCACCATACCTCTGACAGATAACTTTTTCACGGAATAGTTGACACTTTCATGATTTTCGTAAAGCCGTTCAGTCGGGTTAGCACACCGCTCTCTTGTCCTGCATTCACCTGCTAAGTGGCTCTTCTTCCTGCTTTCCTCCAACTCCGCAGGCCCCCTATGTGCTGAGAAACGAGGTTCTCCACATCAGCAAAGGCGAGCAGGCAGCCATCACCACCCAGCTGCTTGACATCCGGGATGATGACAACCCACAGGATGTGGTCGTGAACGTGCTCGATCCTCCGCTTCATGGCCAATTGCTCCAGACGCTTCCAGCCCCTGCGGCCCCGATCTATCAGTTCCACCTGGATGAACTCTCCAGGGGTCTCCTCCTCTATGCTCACGATGGCTCAGACAGCACATCTGATGTTGTGGTCTTGCAGGCCAATGATGGACACTCCTTCCAAAATATACTGTTCCGTGTGAAGAATGTGCCCAAGGTAGGTGCCACCCTAGGGTTAGTTTCCTTGTGTCTACCTATGAAGGTTGACTCTTGGAACTATTTTGGCAATACTCATGAAGTTAGACTATGATGAAATACTCTTTAGTTTGTTCCAGCAGTCTATTATATAGGTATAGGTGCTGATTAAGTATCTCATAAATGAGGTCAGACTAGTTTAATAGGTTCACTGCTGATCTGAGAAGATTCTTCTTTGGCCTGCAGCCACAGAACTATGGTAGCACTCTTCTCTTGTCTCCTGCCTGGCCATGATTGTGGGGATCAAGGCATGTCAGTTTATGTGTTCCTCCACGGCCCATGTAGTAAGAAGCTCACTGTCTTGCTATCGAAGGTAATGAAAAGGAGGAAGTTCAAACATTCTATCAGCCAAGCTGAAGGAAGGTGAAAGAATGTGAAGAAACTGTCGGAAGCTACAGGAGTTGTCCTGAGCGACAGGGACGTGCTTCCCATTCTGAGTTACTGGCATGCCAAAGTGTATGAACTTTCCATGTCCATGAGCTCCTGTGGTATTTATTACCTGCTTCACTTACACTTCATGTTGTTCCGGTAGTCACCTTGCTTCTTTTATGATGGTCTCATTCTAACCATAAAACCATGGACTTCATGCAGAATTGTACCCTCACTGAATTGTTAAATCAATACATAGCCATTCTATATAGTTTTGTCCCTGTCCTTCACAGGATGTTCTTGGATGCTGCATATGGGATGTTTGTCACACCTCAGGAGATGCCGAGCTAACCTGTTGAGGAGCAAACACTCCGGCCTGCATTTCTCAAAGCTTGTTCAATGGAGAGTCTTTCCATAGTCCCACCACAAGGGCCTCTTTCCCATGGTAGTACCTTTAGAAACTTGGAGTAGTTTTCGATTTTCATTCTAAATATCACCACCCACAGAGATAGTATCAATGATTAGCCAAAGAAAGATTTTCTTAGGACAGTTTAAAATTGCTTGCTGTTTTCTTACCAATGATCAGTCAAGGCAGGTGACGTTGTCCTACGACGGGCAATGTCTGAGTCTGATATGTGTGCTAACTTGCTCCTGCTGAAAGCAGTGATGGAGGCCTGAGAGAGAAGAGATAGAGGCATGAAAGAGATCAAGTTTGGGGAGTCTGAGTGTGCAGCACAGCTTGCAGGTGGCCACCTTGTAGCTAATCTTAATTATTGTCTTCTCATGGTCACCTGTGGAAATGAGGTTCGGTTCTTGTAGTGTGAATTCTAATTGTTCTTAATAAAAACCCAGAGTCAGATATTTAGGGGGTGAAAGCTGAAAGCTCGGAGAAGCAGAGCACCCAGCCACTAGTTCTTAGCTCTATGAAATCCTCAGACCGAATGGGATTCTTGTCTCTACAAGAATGTTTTCTACAAGAGACTGGATGCCATCTCAGAGACCTCAGACTGAACTGCCAGCTCCTATCTCCTCCCACCTTATATTCCTCTCTCCACTTGGCTGTATTACTTCCTGTCTTCACCTTTCTAGTGCTGGGATTCAAGGCATGTGATCCCAAGTGCTGGGATCAAAGGTATGAGCTGTTTCTCTTTTAGACTGATTCAATCTCTTGTACCTCAGGGTGGACTTGAACTTACAGAGATCCATCTGTCTCTGCCTCGCAGTTGCTGGGATTAATGGTGTGTGCCACCATTGCCTGGCCTCTGTGGCTAACTAGTGTGGCTAGCTCAGCACTCTGATCTTCGGGCAAGCTTTATTTGTCACAGCACGTACTAAACATCCCTACAGGTTTTAGTGAGATGGAATCTCACTAGAGATGGATAGAGATAGACACAGAAGGTTTTCTTCTCCTCCCTCTTGGTTTCCTTCCAAAGCCTACAGTGGGTTTCGGTGCAGCCCTTACCAGCGACTCTCATATCATGGTTTCGATCTGTGTTTGGAGCTCAGCCCCACTAATTGCACAATTTTGTACAAGACGGTGTAGGATGAAAGGGCATTTCTAGAGTTTTCCCTGCTTTGACTACCAAAGCAAAACAAAGAAAAATAGAATTTAATTCGTAAGGGGGTAGGGGACACAGGGCACAGATTTTGAATTCCTTGCAAGTCCTACACCTTGTGAGCCCTGGAGTGCATTCCTGGGTCTGCTGCTGATTCCTGGAAAGTGAGTTCAAGTGGCGCCCTTTGTCCCTCCACCTTCCCATCCCAGCGTCTCCTAGAGTACTGTTGTTTGATCCAGGCAGTGGCATGCAACCATGCATCAGAACAGTGGTCCCAGTGGCCTGGGCCTCGGCATCATCAGTGTGCTAATAAAAATTTGGCCATATCCATGATTATAGTATGCAAATATCTACTATTTTTCATTCTAGGAATTAAAATGTTTCCTTGCACCCCTTTTCTAGGTTTTTTCATCCTGCCCTACTGGAAAGCTAGAGTGTCGCCTTGTTGTTTCTAAAGGAAATGATAGCATGAATAAAAGGGTTTTTGTTTGTTTGTTTTTAACATTTACTAGACACTAAAACTTGGTGTGAATTAGCTCTTGAATCTTCCTGTTCATCCTGTGCTGTTTGTACAATTATCTCGAATTTACCGAAGGAGGACACTAAAACAAAAAGAGATCTAGAAATAATCATTTTCACAAAGGTTTTCAACACTGGAGCTAAGATTTTGTTTCAAGGGTGCCTGCCTCCCACACTCAGTCAGGATGCTCTCATGCTCTGGCCTCTAGCTTTCAATCCTTAAGGCATATGGAGTCCCATTCCCTTGATGGATTAAATGAAGACAAAAATCTATTCTTGGTGTCCTATCCAAGCAAGCTGGGCCCCGTACCTTCTGGAATCTTCCCTCTGGATTCGGCACAGCTTTTTACTGGGGAGGCTATTTATAGTCATAGGTCTGCTGGGCCCAAGAAATAAAACTCGTATGTTCCAGTGTCTGGTAGATGTGTAGTCAGATGTGTGCTAAGAATGATTTTTGAGGATGGGTCTGGGAATTCCTTCCCTGAGGCTGCCTATGTGTTAATTCTGGAGACAAGCCATTTACTGGCTGGTATCTAGTTGATGGTTTTAATGAACTGGGTGAGGGTGTTGTAAATGCTTATGAATGGGTACACAAGTGAATCCCTATCTTGTTCAGTGGAAAAGTTAGCCTGATTTTCTAGTCCTTCTGATGAAGGGATAGAAGGAAGCATTGTGAGTCAAGTATTAATTTAGTTTTTCTCTCCGAGAAGGGCACATTTTATGTTTTTGTTGGACAGGTGGTTGTAATGGTGTAATGGCTTGAACAAGACTCCTGGCTGCGTCTCTGTCTTCTAGATGGTCTGTGCCAGGTACAAAATGCTCAGGGCCCCTCTGCTGCTGCTGCTGTGGCCCTTCTGGGCGAAGCAACGGAGCTGTGAGATCGGCCCTGTTTTTCAAGCTGTCTCCTACTTCACCCTGTCTCAGCCTGGCAGTGAATAAACCTAACTGCCCCTTCCAGGAGGATGCTGAGCTACCGTGGAGAAATAGAATTGGGAATAGTGTCAAAACATGTTTTACTGGGGCAGGAGGCAGAAGGGGGGAAAAGATTAAAAAGTAATAAAGAATGTTCTGTTGAACAGGTTTCATTAATTGGGTTAATTAGGTAACTCTCCAAACCCAAACCTGCTAGAGATAAATGCGTCTGAGGGAGTTCCACATCTTGTGAGGGCTACAGTGTGGGCAGGGGACTCAACTCTGTGGACGATGGCCCTTCTGCTGGGTTTTCAAGGTATTATTTGCCTTCCCGTTAATTACCGTGCCTTTGGAACCCGTGCCTTCTGTCCACTTTGGGAACCAGTTTGATAATCTTACTGAGCTCCTTTATTGTTTGAGCATCTCTTTTCTACAGCTAGCTAATGCTTTAATATTAAAAATCTCCCAAGTGCCGTAGTTGGACCTGGCTGGAAACCTGTCTCTGAGGATCCTTTCTGCGGTGGCATTGCCTGTATGTAATTGAAAATGCCTATTGTATTTCCTTCAACTTCACGCATGCCTCTTGCTGGTGCTTTTATGGGGGCACAGTTAGAGGCAATTATTTGGGTGAATTTCAAAGGTCAGTGGTGTAAAAATATTTGATATGTGAGCAAACACGACTGAGTCGCTTTGGAATATCAGTTTTCCTTTTGATGGGGGGGGGTGGAGGGCTTCTTAGCTTGTTCAGTGCTCATAAGACACCCACTGAGAAAATTTTGACTGGCTTAAATGTTGGATTCTACACCAAGCAAAGGCTGCACGCTCCTGCCTTGGAAGAGCAAATCTCTGAACTCCTGCTGACAAACGCGAAGCCATGCCTGTTGGCCTCCCTTGTCTCCTGCTGACCCGCTACCCCCTGAGCTCTCCACAACTGTTTCTTCCCTTCAGTCAGTCATGCCCAGGACCAGTGAAATGTTAAACTTGTGGTGTAAATGAGCTCCGAGTTTCCAGAATAAGTGAAGAAGAAAAACAAGACCACCCAACTAGCCATCTGCTAAACAGCAGAGTTTTGAAAACTTTGATTTGGAATATTTGGGCTATGGTATCATTTGAGTTAAAGTTCCATTATTTATGGCTCAAGTTTCATGTGGGGAGGGGATTGTATTTTGTTTTAAAGGAGAGAGGCTTCTGCTTTTACTATGGATCACAACGTTAATATTTTTACTCGTAATACAATACGTGATGGCTATATTTTATTAGCAGCATTTTTATGCCTATTGTTGTATGAAATGGATTAGAAGAGCTATTTAATTTAAAGCACTGTTTTAACCATGTCCTCAATTTTACTCATTGGGATTTCATTGCCTGCTAATGTACTCTGAGGGATACATAAAACATCAGAGGGCAGGATTGTTCAACTAGTAAAATAACCAATTTATTGTGCTGATGGGGATATGCAATGGAGAAAAGCTAAAAGGAGAAACGTCAATTCCAAAATGTTAACAATGAGGGGGAAATAATAGTAAGAGTTGGCTTTTGTGCACATTAGCTATAGAAAAGATGATATGTGATTTTCTATCCATCTCTTCTTGAGTATTCCGCTCCTTTCAAAACAGTCAAAACAACCATAATCAAGATGAATGGGAATATTAGTATTTCTTTTTCAAAACACTGAGTAAAAATTAAGAGCCCTATATATTTAATATTTATAATATGAAGCATTTGGAGCTATGAGCAGGGACGCCATCACTGCTTCAGAGTCATGGGCAGCATCACTTCCCAAGGTCTCCTGCGGATCTCGTTACCTTTATAGGTTATCTTTCTGGATCTGTCATTTTAGCAACAGTAAGCAACCCACACAGCACTGGTAACCGTGGGCTGCACCGTGTAGGTTTCCACGCAGCACCGGTAACCGTGGGCTGCACCGTGTAGGTTTCCACACAGCACCGGTAACCGTGGGCTGCACTGTGAAGGTTTCCACGCATCACTGGTAACCGTGGACTGCACTGTGTAAGTTTTCAGAACTGACTTACCTAGTGCAACTGAAGCTTCACACCATGTAGCCATTAACTTCCATTTTCCATGTTTCCTGCTCCCTGTCTATTCCTGTTCTGCTTTCCTTGGGAATCTGACTGTTTTAGATTCCCCATGTGAGAAACCACACATCTTTTGTCTTCTTCTTGTGTCCTGCTTATTTCTTTTAGCTGAATGTCTTCCACATTGTCATCCCTCCTTTTTATAATGGCTGAATAATCTTTCTCTTTTTTTTTTTGATATAATGTTGGGGGTTCTGAGTGCCTTGATTCTTATGTCTTTGTCTTTTCGATACCTACTGCGGGTTTACAATGACGCTTACATAAAGTCTTGAAGTTATAATAGTGCATTTTAAGCTGATATGTTGCTTTCAACCACACACTGCTCTCCACGTGTATGTGTCCCTGACGCCTGATACTTCGCTGTTAGTATCACAGTTTATGGTTTTGTATATCGTCAGTCCTGCTAACAAATTCCTACAGTTATAATTGTCTTTACTGCTTTTTCCTTTTAAAATCTTCCCAGCACTCGGGAGACAGAGACAGGCGAATCTCTGTGAGTTCGAGACCAGCCTGGTCTACAGAGCTAGTTCCAGGACAGGCTCCAAAGCCACAGAGAAACCCTGTCTCAAAAAAACCAAATAAATAAATAAATAAAATAAAATAAAATCTTATTCCAGTCTTTCTAAGAAATAGAAATGTACACATTATATAAGTGTGTAAATGCATGCACACGCTCACATGCAGAGTATTCTGTAGGGAATGTACAGAAAATGCAGGCTGTGCCTGTTTAGAAGACACAACGGTTTTTCCTGAGTGTGTCCAAACTGCTGTTGGTTGAGTCCATGTGTGTGGAGAGTGTAGGAGCAGCCAGCTCTCCTTTGTTCTGCAGGTGAGTTCTCACACTGTTAACTGACGTCTCTTCATTTGCACTTGAAGAACTCCAGCCTTTCTTGTCAGACAAGCCCAGCTGTGGTCAGCAGTTCTAGCCTCGGTTTGTCCAGAAAGCCTCTCTTTCATCTATGAATGACAGCTTCACTAGTGAAGGGTTCTTAGATGGCTGTTTTATTTTCATTGCTTTAGTTGTGTACAATCCCCATCTCTGAGCGTACAGGGTCTGTGCTGTGGAATCCAGCGATCATCGTGTGGGGTGCCTGCAGAATTTGCTCTCTCTTAACTTTTGGAAACATGGAGTCACTTACTGAAGATACATGACAAGCAAAGGCAGAGTATGACAACATCTAAGTATATACAGATGTGTACCCAACTACACACAGAGTTGGCACGTGGCCCACGGTGTCACTGTGCTCTGCACCGCTCTTCTCTGTTAGATGATCTCTAGCAACAGCATGCCCCTGTGACTTACATTTTCCTGAGTATGCTGTACTCATATTCAGTACCCAGTGCTGTGCCTTTCTTTCCTTCCAGAATGATGGAGTTTTGCGGCTTGTGACCAACTCTATGGTGTGGGTTCCCCAAGGGGGGATGCTGAAGATCACCAACCGAATCCTGCAGGCTCAAGCTCCTGGGGTCAGAGCCGAGGATATCATCTACAAGATCACGCATGACCACCCGCGGTTTGGTAACGTGTCTTTTTAGTGTGGCTTCATTTTGCATCAGGGGTTAGGACTTGGTGTTACACCATGCCATGCAGTAAGTAAGCTTCCTCATACTTCATGCCCCTCACTGAGGGGCAAAGTGATCATGTAGGCTGGTACACTGTCCACTCTCGTGAGTACCTTATCAGCACATTGTATATAACATCTAAGATAGTAGCTTGTTTTATGTAATTTTATTTTACACGTGACATTAGGACACAGCAGCTTTCTGACAGTCACCTAGCTAACACATGTTGTGGGAATTTCAATGGCCAGGCTCTCAGATGCTACCTTTGTTCTCTAAGACCCACCTTTAGACTCCCTTTTTTTTTAATTTAAAATTTTTTGCATTTGTTTATTTACTGTGCGCATGCAAGGGCACTTGGGTGTCCACGAGAGCACATATGCGTCCATGTATGCCTACAATACCGTTCTCTCTTTCTGCCTTGTGAGTCCCAGGGTCAAACTCGAGTTTTCAAACCCTCAGACTCAGTAGCAGGCTCCTTCTCCCACTGAGCCACGTTAGCAGCCCAGGCTCTTAATAAGGATGAGAAAGAAATTGCACAGAAATATTCTTCAATATTCACCATTATTACTTTCCCAAGAAAGATAATGCATGTAGTAACCTAAGGTATTCCGGTTGACGTCAACTGGAAGTGCAGTTTAGCAAGAGTTATACTGAGGTATGCTTCATAAGTGATGCCCCAGAAATGAAGAGAAATATCTAAGTGCTGACCACAGAAGCAGTCTTTGTTGTTGCTCAGAGGCTGGTGGAGAGTGCCCTGTGTCTGCTCATCACTCACTCTTAAGCCTGGTACTCACAGTTTTTGGTTAGACTGGCAGTCAACAAGCCTCAAACATCTTCCTACCTCCACCCCTACAGTGCTGAGGTTACAGGTATGCATGAGACCATGCCTAGCTTGTTAACATGGGTGCTGGGATTTCAACTTGGGTCTTGGTACTTGGCATCAAGCCACCTCCCCAGCCCTTGACTAATATTTTGAAGAGAACTATTCATATATTTGTGGACTATTGCTGGCTTTGGATCCATTTGGTAGCTTCTCATTTGGGGTTAGGGTTTGCTCTTTCGACTTTTGATGTACTGTATTGGGGACACACGATATTGCTGTTTTACTGTATTTACATTAACTTTAATCCCCTGATTAAGGTGACAACTGCCAAATTCCTCCACTACAGTTATTCTTCTATCTGTAATTCATTCATGTTCTGTTTCCAGTGCACTTGCCCTGCTGAGTTTGTGCTAGGTGACTTCTAAGTCCTTTTCATCTCTAAATGCCTCTGACTCTTGTGATATATTAAATCCCCTAACTTTATTATGACTATTAAAAGCCAGAAATTAAGAAACAGCCCAGTATTTCATTAAATATTAAACAGAACAACACTGAATTAAGTGGTTTTTAAGCAGATGGAAGTTTGCCATTTCAGCTTAATAAATGCTTGATTGGGAGCCTTTCTACTGTAACCCAATTTCTCTGTGTGTGTTTCTCCCTGTTAATAGTAATCAAATCATGTCACTATAGAGAACCATCCAAGAGCGAAAAGGATGGCTGGAGTTAGACACCCGCACAAACACAAATCTACTCCCATCCCCCTGTCCCAGTGAGATGCGCCTGTGGCCCCCACATCAAACTTCTGACTGCTCTGTGTTCTCACACCACTTTCAAACCTTCAATGTGGCTTTAAGCTTTTCGTGGAGAACTGACATTGGGAATGGAGCTGAGCACAAATCCCTTATACAGTACGAGTGTAACGAGCTTCAATTCAGCCAGGCACGATGGTTACACCTGCAATTCCAGCACTTGGAAAACTGAAGCAGGAGGATTGCCACTAGTTTATGAAGCAGGAAAGCTTGGCTTACATAGAGTGAGACAGGAACAAAACAAAAAAGAAAAAAGAAAACAAAACAAACAAAACTAAATTCAACCACACTTTCAGACTCATCCAGTTGATTGACACATGTATCCTTAGTGTCTTTGTAGAGGTGAAAATAGTCTAGTAGTCTATCAAAGTACTTTGGACATCATTGGAGAAGGAATGTCACTTATTCTAAATCACTGGAACTCTAAATTATTTATCATACTGTAAGAAAGTTTAATAAAAAATGGCCTCAATCCCAACATAATTCATGGCAATTCAAATGAGATTTTAATTCTAATAGCATTAATTTTTCTCTTCAAAATTCTTCATTAAACATAGCCTTAAGTATCCCATATCCCAGACAGAAGCGACTGCTGGTTTCCAAGTGTAGAGTTTTGCATTGGAAATATGTCTTCTATTTTTGGTGCTATCGTGGTAAAAGCAGTGGTTAGCACCCACACACGGTATTAGCTTCCCCTCTTCATGACTATGGCACCAAGGCCTCGAAATTTCCCCTTTTCTCCTCAAGTTATTTTTCCCAAGACTCCCATATTTATTGCATCCAGTGGCCAACTCTCCATCCTCGATGTGTCTGTCTGTCCTGTCCGTCTGTTCTGCGCCCCTCAGTGGCAGCCGCCCTGGCTACAGATGGTCTTTCACTCAGTCTTCTCTTGCTTCCAGATCTGTGATTGGCAGCCTGCATTGCTTATCTCCTCACTGTCTGCTTGTTTCTGTGCAAATTGTGTGTCTGTTACCTTAGTTCAGGTCTCGACCTCAACACATGATTTTGTACTAACCTTCTGATTGCTTAAACTGTCTATTTAAATTGATTATTGTCATTTTTAATAAAGTCTGGCCTCCTTAGTAGTATTTTCAAGTCTTGTAGACCATCTGGACTCCAGCCACACAATTCCATGTCCCAAGTCCGTGCACAGCAGTCACCTGCAGAAGTCCTCCAGTGGCTCTCTGCTGCTTTCAGTGCAGATCTGCAGCAGTAGCAATAGATGTGTCGGATTAGCTGTGGGTCCTCTACTCTAAAAGGCCTGTTGCAGCAGAGGCTATCTAGTAGACACTCAAAGACTATTGCGTTAAAATTGTTGGACCTAGTCAATATCCTGCAGTACCTGGGGAGCTGTGTCATATGGCAGTGATTGTTGTTGTTGAAAATGTATTTCTTTCAGTAGGCATTGTTAGGGAAGTTCCGCTTGGCTCTTTCGTCACAAAGCAGAGCAGCTAGGAAGTCAGCTGTAGGATGTTTTCTGTCCGCTCTTTTTGTTTTCTTTGTGGCAGTTCCTTCCAGAGCATTTCACAACTGTACTGACACGCATGAACAGGCCTGGTCCTGGGAAGCCATGTCTGCTCACAGTATCTTACGATGTGGGTTTTCACCAGGAGAGATGGTGATAGAATTGCTTATCTAGCAGCAACACAGAACTAGGGTGAATCCATTCCCTCAGATGGTTCCATGAACGCTGGCGATTTTCTCCTATTGCAGTATTTTGTTACCACCCAGTGGGTTTTGCTCATCTTTAACATGAATTTAGTGCATACACATATTAAAATGGGTGTTTACGTTGAGGTGGAAGATGGGTTTCTCTGGAGTAATGAAAATATGATTACCAGTTCTGAAAAAAGACATGTGCTGTCAGTTATTCAATATGCCTAGAGTATTAAGATCGGGCATCCGCCTACAAAACATTTCAAAAATAGAAAAATAGATTCTCTGTCCTTCTCTCTCTGTGTTCTCCCTCCCTGCCTCTGGTTCCCCCCTCTCTTTCTTACACACACACACACACACACACACACACACACACACACACACACCTGCCATCCCTCCTACTATCAAAATGGCAGAGTAGCTTTGGGAGACTTACTGTTAGCTGCAAAACACAGCCTGTTTTCAAAAGGGCATCTATTTTTCTGTGTGGTCTTCACTCTAGGGTATATTCTTGTGAAATTTTAATTGTTTCTATAACACTTCTGCATTTGTGATCTCACCAGAAGATGACAGTAGCTTCAGGTGAGGGAGAAGCTTTAAAAACAGGTGGGTGGTGTTTGATTTTAGATTTCCTTGCTGTGTTTCAAATAAAATGTGTCAAATGAAGGGGGAGAAAATGCTAAGTCAAACACTGATACATGGACAGGAAATAGTACCGGTTAGTAATAAAACTTCATGGCTAAGAATATGAACTTTCAGTTCAAATCCCTGCTATCTGCTGACCTCCAGCAGGTCTCGGAACTTCTCTATGGCTAAAGACATCTGTAAGGGAGATGACATTCTTCACATGACACATAGAAGTGCCCACATGAGTAACCAGCTTTCTAAAGTTAAAGTTCCTTTAAAGTTTGTTTCCAACAGGTTGAGCGTTGCTTGGCCAAAATGCCAAGAAATGCCAAAAGTATTTTAAATATGGATTTTTAAAAATTATTTAGTATTTTCAAACAAGTGATAAGATATCTTGAAAATGAGACTGAACTGTAATCACATGATCACTTACATGTCATATGCATCTTTTACATAACAAAGCCTGAAAGTGACTTCCCACAGTAGACTTCCTGTTCCTAGTGTTTGACTTTGACCTGCTGCGCGAGATCACTCCAGTATGGAATTTTCTACTATGTGTCATGTTGCACCCCAAAAGCTTGGGGTCGTGGATCTTTTTGGATTATGGGCTTCCAGATGAGGGATGTTCAGCCTGAGCTGGTTTTACATTGCCCATGAACAGTGGAGCCCTAGGAGTGTGAGGAAGCTCGTGAGTCTGGGAGAGGCAGAGCTGGGTTTACGCAGCCGCACCAGGAATGTGCGTGTGTGTGTGTGTCCTGTGTGTGTCCTGGTATCAGCCGACCTTGTCCCCACTGGGCAGAGTCTTCTCAGGAATGACTCCCACTGAACTCTCTCCCTCTTATGTTTCCAGTCTGCAACTGTTTAAAACACTTTGAGTTACATCGAAAGTTCCATATAGAAATTAATACATCCAGTGCCCGGTGTGTGCCTATTCACAACACCCACTACAATATAAGTCTTGTTGTGTAATTTTAATAAATACTAGTCAACAACTTTATACATAGATTGCCGTTACATGGCTATTGGAGACTGGGGATTCTGTGTCTAAAGGGGAATTCAGTGATATTTATTGAGTTCTGTTAGTGGCCTTACCTTAGCTCTAGAGACGTACTTGTTCAGTTTGTAAGGAAGGAAGGATGGGAAGGAAGGAGATCTCCAGCTGGCCTTTCCCAGAGATGTAACCGTACGGCCTTGCTTCCCTAGGGGAGGTGGTCCTCCTGATGAATCTGCCAGCAGACAGCCCCGCCAGTCCTGCCGAGGAAGGACAGCACCTGCCTGATGGAAGGATGGCAACCCCCTCCAGCACCTTCACACAGCAGGACATTGACGACGGCATAGTGTGGTACAGACACTCGGGAGCCCCGGCCCAGAGTGACGCCTTCCGCTTCCAGGTACGCTCTGTCTACATCCTGGCCATCCATTGTCAAAGGTCACACGGGCCGTTTTCTTCCATTGCCTGTCTAGGAGCGGGAGACGTAATTAATAACATTAAGAGTTTTGTAAAATATGTGTATTCAGGTGAATAGTAACAGGTGCTACTTAGGGTCCTGCCATTATCGTTTATCGAAATTGGTGACAGGCTAGACCATAAGCAGAAATGCAAAAGAATAAGAAAGAATATGAGGTTGGATTACTGATGATTGTAAATACAAGTGAAATCATAATAAAAAGTAAACAAGACTGTTAAACCACTTGGTATAGTTTAAATGTTCTTAAAGGAAATCAAAGTCGTGAACCACTAAGAACTGTTGAGGAGAAAAGAACTTTTAATAACTTTTGAAGACTCACGTGAAGGCTACAAAACTGTATTCAAAAAACTGGTGGTACCATTTATTATTGAGCAGGAAAACACAAAAATAAGTGGACCAAATGTTTGACGTGGGAGCCTAGCAACCCGCAAGGAAAGCAAAAAGGAGAATCTGGTCAATTCTGAAACACTACGAGTAACAAATGAGAACAAAGGCCGAGTCTTTGAAAAGAGCAGTAACATTAAGCAAACCTACAGCTAGAAGGATGCGAAATCAAAATTAGACAGGAATACTAAGGAATAAGGGACTGGGAGGCTAAGCAGAACACAGCGTTTTATAAGACACCGGGAAATACATTTGCTCATTGTGGTGCCCACAGTACGCCCTTCAAGTTCCAGGCTTTTCTCTCGTCTAAGAATGCACTCCACTTCTTATGCCTGGCATGTACGTTTTAGTTGCCTGATAAATCAGTGTTTTTTCCAAAGAGTGGGTTGATAGAAATATGGAAACTATTAAAATGAGGTTCCAAAGCGAGCAAATGCTCTGTGGCCTTTGCTCGAGTTAACGTCTCAATTTCAGCCCCCGGGACGGCAGCCGTCCTGAGAGAATGAGTCAGAATTGAGGCGAAGACCTCAATCAGAAGAAGTCACCTCAGCAAACTAGAGCCCACAGATCTGCCTTCCCTTTCTCAGGGGTCAAGACAGCGTGCTGTCACTATGGAGTCTTTCCCTAGAAGGGAATTCTAAGCACCTGTTCAAAATGACATGAAGTAGCTTTGCAACTTGGTTACGGAGTGAAATGAAAGAATGAAAAGTAAGTTAAAAGGTACTCATTTAGGGAGGGGGAAAAAGACTCCCTGAAGCAGACGTGCTGGTGCACACCTACACTTCCAGCACATCCAAGGTCAGAAGTTCAAGGACATCAGCTGCATAGTAAGTTTGGCCATCCTGAGCTACATGAGGCCCAGCCTCAAACCTAACAAACTTGCCCGCTTACAAGATTTACAACATAAGACTGAACATTATTACTTAGAAAGTAGGTCTCTGTAGAGTCGCCATGCTCCTTACATGAAGCGTGATAGAACTTCTACTTCAAATAGCTTTAGAAGTATTTGTGATATTCTTGAATCATAGCCTCAAGAATGAAAGAGTATCATTTTGGGGACATGGGTTTATACTACCCCACTTCTCCAAACTATGGTGTCCTGGGTCAAAGAGCAGTAAGAACTTCTGGCTAAAGAAGGACCTTAATTCTGCGGTAAGGAGCTTGCCTTTTTAGAAGATGGTTTGTGGACTCCCTCTGGAAGCAGTCAGAGAGAGAGAGAGAGAGAGAGAGAGAGAGAGAGAGAGAGAGAGAGAGAGAGATTTTTGACAGGGTTTCTCTGGCCTCTGGCTACCCTGGAACTCACTTTGTAGACCAGGCTCACCTTGAGTTCACGGACATCCTCCTGCCTCTGCCTCCAAAGTGGTGGGATTCAAGGCATGCGCCACCACCGCCCGGCTGAGAGAGACTGATTTTAAGCAGGGACCGCATATTTATTCTGAGCGTGAAGTGACTCTGAGATGAGGTTCTCCTGGACATAAAAGTGTCGCTGTCTGTTTTTATATTTTTATTACTTTGAAAGCATACTTCATATTTTGGTCTGAAAAGCACAGACACTTTATCCGTGTGCTAAAGTAAATGGTTAGTAACCTCCCCATTTGTCATCTTAGTGTCCCTGGAAGATTTTAAACCAAGAGGAGGCTGTCATGGTGTCGGTTCTTTTCCCTTCCCTTTTTCCCCTTTAAAGCAGGAAATGTAATCTAATGAGCTGCGTGGATTTAATTTCATTTTGATGCTGATGTGCTGTCACGAGCCATCAATGCAGCCCGTCTGTGACTTTGCATGTATGATTGGATTTATGTAAGCTGCATGGCATTTTTAATCACTAGACGGTCTAGCGAGAGGGCAAGTACATCCAGCCATTTTTATGTAAGAAAATAACTGTGTATTCAGATCCTGTTGACACAGAATCCGTGGATGTGGTTTGAAAAAGACCAACATTCTATTTCATGCTGTTTCGCTGCCAGTGTATTTATGCGGAGGCCAGCCTGATTTACTTGCTCTGTTAATATGCCCGTGTTTCACAGCCTGGCCAGTGCTGTTTCTCTGCCTTCACGACAGAAGGAAATACTCCCCTAACTCCTAATTTCTTATGTCTACCAAAGTGAGCCATCTTGCACAGTGGCAAGCTTGTGAACCCAACTGGCCCGTTTATTCTGACTTTGAGACATTGCTTTGTTTTTTTTTTTTTTTTTTTTAATTTTTAATTTCCTCTGTACGAAGGGGAATAATTGTATTGCTTTGTGGGGAACAGGGAAGTTACCTTTGAAAAGAGACTAAGAGCTGAGCCCACGCCAGATGATCAGCAACGTGTAACTGGTCCTTGGCCAGCATTGGCAGCCCCTGGGAGACATCCGAATGCCCTGAAACTTCACTGCAGGCATCGGACATAAGCTAGATGAAGGCCCAGAAGATGGTTTTCCTGCTGGGCACAGTGTACAGTATCCCACCTTCTGTCAGCAGGGGCGGACAGCTACCTGCAGGCACACAAGGCTCAGCTGCTCTTGTTAGAGGACTGAGGAGACAGTGGAGACAAGACGGGCTTAGGGGAGCAGCCCAGAAGCACCAGGAGGAAGCTCGAGAAACTGATGCATAGGGGTTGTTGGCCTGTTTCTTAACATATTACCTCGCCAGTGAGCTCTGGTTGGTCTCTTGACTTCCCACCTCAGCTTCCCTAGCGCTGGCATTCGGCACAGGCTCATCCGCTGCCCCCGGCACAGGCTCGTGCCGCTGTCTTTAGCACATTTTTTTGGTGGTTTTTGAAGCAAGAAAAAGAAGCTGACTCTGTGACCGTTGCCCTCGCTGTAAATGTTACTGAAGTGCAGCGATAAAGCTAAGTCATGTGACTAATGGTCCAGGTGTCCGTATCTACACTGAGTACAGATGAGAGGAACGGAGTAAGAGAGAACCGTGTTATAGATGCACTGTAAACACGTTCCATAGCCATAAACATGACCCGCTCTCATTAACGGCCAATACCATAGCAGAGTATCATAGGATCGGGTTAAATGAAGAGAATTTCAAGTACATGTGAGTTTACGTAAGGAGATTATGTGGAGATAGCACAGAAAAAGATTAATCTGAAATGCTTCAATGTGTCCATCACTCTTTCTAGGTAGTGAAATTCTATATTTTCTTTCTGATTTATACTGTCGTGGATTTTAAGAACTGCCTAAAATGGTGATGCAGATTTTTTTTTATAATCAGTAAATGATTAGAAATAAAATACAAAGAACAGAAAGAGAATTGTGATGTAGGCGCATATAGAATTCAAAGGCAGATGGTTTGGGGGTGGGGAGTCTAAATGCATACAAATGTGTTCTGCCCAGTAGAAGAATAAAGCTCACCATGATGATTTTGTTTTTCAGGTGTCTAGTGCCACTGATGCCCAGGCCCACTTGGAAAATCACATGTTCAACATTGCAGTCTTACCTCAGGCACCCGAGGCACCTAAACTCTCCCTGGGGACATCTCTCCATATGACCGTGAGTTGAATGGGAGGGCTAATGCTTTACCCTTGGACAAAGCACACCCACCCATGCAGAAGGAAAGTGAGCCAATGCCTTGGTGTGGGATGCAGTAAATGTTTGGCCCAAAACTAGACCCTAAAGCCAACAAGAACAGCCCTGAAATACATTACTCACTAACTTGAAAAAGGAACTTAAAGTCCCCTCAGAAAAAGAAGATATGTAGAATCTATTCTTGCCCATCCAACCATTGCCCCATGACTCTCTTCAGCACCCCATACAGCTATTGTGTCTCTCCCTGAGCACTTCTAGGGTAGAATTAGTCTGTCTTTTACAGCGCCACCTAGCTGGAGCGGCTGCTCTTCATGTTGTAAAGCTCTACCAGAAGCTGGCTTTCTAGTGTAAGAGCTTCCTGGAGTAGGTGGTGTCAATGCTGAGTCCAGGACGATACGCAGCAACTAATTATCCAAGTAAAAGAACAAGAAAGGCAGGTAGAGTGGAGGAGAGATGACCAAGGGCTTTCAGAGCACGTGGAGGACCCAGGGGGTGAGAAAGCTGATGACGGCTGAGACATAGCAGGTAGTTCAATCACCTGGAGAGATGAGGAAAGCATGGTTGGGATGTGGAGATCATTATACCCAATCCCAGAAGGCCTTGTGGACTCTGTGGAAATGAATGTGGCCCATGGAAAGATATAGCACTCATGTGCTAGATAATAGTTTTAAATACAGCCCAAACACAAAATCATAATGAAGGGGCTCTAGCCAGTTTGAGCATGGCTAACGTGACTGTGTAGGCCTTTCCCTTCTCCCCTATCCACACTGCCTTGCTAAAAACTGTTAGATTATAACCCTAAGGCTAGCCACCAAGGTCTGTTCCCTTATTTGGCCACGTCCTCCTCCTGAGGCTGACTACCAAGGTTCAATGATCAAAGTATTGAAGTCTATCAATACTTTGACTCACCTAATTAACATGCCCAATTCTAATTAAACTCCTCATCCTAACATGGGGTTTCCCCTTTTACCTTTATAAACTGCTATTTTCCTATGAGCCCCATCTGGCTCCTCTCTATCCAGAGGCAGTCCTTTGTCTCTCCAGGACAAATCTCCCTGCCCACTCTCCCTGGTTCCCTTCCCCTTCTCTCTTTTCCTGCCTTCTGTCCCCCATATCCCTGTCTTCTGTCCCTCTGTGTTGAGTACTTGGTCTTGTGAGGGGGTGTGTCCTACACTGATACCAATCTCTTTATACATAAACTATCCCAAACCACTCAGATTTTCTTTGCAGATTGCTTGATCACATGACTCTCAAGCATGAGTGTTATAAATGCCAACATCATATCGCAATGGCAAGGGCTGGATATGCCTGAAGGAAGATATCACCTGGGTTGGCCTATAAAGCTCAATAAAGACGAGTAGGAAGTACAGAGTACATTGTAACCCTGTGCCTAGAGTAGATGGAATGCCAGACTTCTCTTTCAGACAGAGCTATGAGCGTGCAAACCCCTGTAAATTCATTGTTATGGGTCCATGTGTTAGTTAGCACCCACATGATTACACTCCGGTGTAGGGCATCAGCCTTGGGCCACAACAAAGAGAGCAGTGATAGTTTCAGAAATTATGGGGCTGAGGAATGACAGAGACATAAAGGGTGAACGTAGAAAGTTTTTAATGAATAGCTGGTATCGGCATTTCCAGCATAAACTGTAATATAAAGAAATCATAATTCAGCAGCATTATAAAGTCTATAATTCATCATTCTGACTGGAGGAACTTGGATCAGAGTTTTCTCTAAACTGTAAAGAAAAATGTGCATACACATTTCTTGCCAAATGCAAAGCACTGTTATTTGGAGTTTAGAAGGGAAAGAAATGGGCCGGGAGCCATGAAGGTGGTGCCGTTCGCCTTGCCGCGGTCTCCTCAAGAGACTCCATGTTGCTTCAGCTGTAGTCTCTGGCTGTGCATTTGCAGATTAGGTCTGTCTTCATGAACCTCGGATCTCTCCAAAGTCAGCTGACTGGAAAATGTGATTTAGCTTACATTACTTAAGATATACAGAGTTGCTGTTCCTTCTGACGTTAATTGGGGCTCTTACTGTAGGGCACACTTGTTACATGTGACAAAAAAACACAGCCTCAGTTCAGTGGTTCGGACTCCTCTAAACACTGAGGCTTTGCACGCATTTGGTAAATTGTACAGATATGTGGTAAATACAGATGAGATGTTTTTGTATATTCCAGACGAGTATGTCACAGATGGGGTTGAGAGGAGTCTGCCTCTCATTCCTGCAGTTATTCATTCATTAGTCCTTGCGAGTGCCCATGACAAGTGCTGAAGAAGACACTGCAGATTCAGTGACCTTAAAAAAAAAAAAAAAAGAGTTTCTAGTTCAGGGATTTTTGCATCGAGGAGGAGCCGGGCAAATAAATAAGCAGGGGAATGATATTGCGAGGAATGCCAGACCAGAGCAGCCATTCGGGAGCAAGGAGGAGGGTGCCTTGTGCGGCGAAGCGAAGCATGGGAGCATCTGGAGGAGCTGAGCTGTTGAGTGTAATGATCTCTGCATCAGGGTTCTTAAGGTCTCAGACGTAAGTGCGTATGGGCGTCACCTGGAGAGTTACTACAGTACACTGGAGCTCACTCCAGGTTCGCTAATGCAGTAAGTCTGGCTGTGAGGTCAGGAGTCCACGTCTCTAGCAAGACCCAGGTGGTTCTGTTTCCCGCTGTCCCCATCACTACACTTGAAGAACTACTGATCGGAACTCATTGTGGGGTATTCGTTCTGGACAACAGGAGCAGCGGAGTACAAAGGTTAGAGACAAAACATGAGCATTTGGGACCCTGCAGGTAGTTCAATGGGCGGGAGCTGAAGTTGCTCGATGTAAAGCAAGAGGGCATGTCAGTCAGACTTCAGGGGACCTTAAGCATAAAGGGGGTTCCATTGTTCCAAAAGACTGTTGGAGGTTTACAGCAGAAAAGCCATGGTCAGAATTTTAGCAGTCAATTTGGGAAGACTGTTGTAGCCCCCGAGCATCTGGATGGGACCTTTGCAGAATAGAAATAGCCAACAGGCTACAACATAAACCCCACGGAGTGGGACTGTGGCTTCCGAGTTAGGGAGAACATGTAGAAATGTTCACTGTGGCATTTTTCACAGGAGCCAAGAGATGAAAGTACCTAAATGTCTATTGATAGAAAAACAGATAAAGAAGATGTGTGTGGGGTGTATGTATGTGCACTCAAATAGTGCAACATGACACAGCCGTACAATGGAAAGGAATCCCATCATAAGGTACATGGGTTAACCTGGAGCACATGACAAGTGAAAGAAGCCAAGAACAAAAGAGACCAATAAGACAACTCCCCTTGTACAGTGATGTCGTCAGATCTTAGGAAAGGAAGGCCGGGCTGTGGTTTCCAGGGCTGAGAGGCGTGAAGAGAAAGGAATGGTGGAGAAACTGCTCAGTGGATATAGAGTTTCTGTTGTTTAAGGTGACAGAATTCTGGGGTTCTTTTATAGAACAGCATGCATTATGGTTAGCCCTACTCTACACTTAGAAGTGGTTGAGACTGTTAAAAAGCTAAAATACGGCTAGAGGTTGAGAGATCTAGAGACACAGCCAGTTAGAACACAGAAAGACCCTGGCTCCTAGAGTGTAACTACACCTTTCCCTGAGGTCAGGAACATGAGGAGTTGTCTGGAACGTACAGTAGAGCCAAGGTCAGTGTGAGAACTGTCCTTCTATACTGCATACCGTAGAGAGCCATGGCAGGTGAGTCACAAGATCCATCATCTTCCAGGCACCCTGGCTGAAACAGCCAGTAGTCGAGCTGAGAGCAGTGTGTAGCCATTGCGAGTCCCGGGGAGGGGCTGGCCCTGAGCAGAGCAGTGACATCCGGGGCACAAGGGTTTGGGTTCTGGATGTCGTCAGAGGCGATGCAAGCAGGATGAAAGCTATTATTCTTAATCTTTGGCCAGATGTTATAAAAAATGCCGCCTGTAATTATTTCATGAGGTTTAATCTTCCACTTCTTAGTGTGTTTAATTGATGAATATTGACTACCCCAAATAATTAAAATTGACTAATTTGATACATCACTGCTTCAATATGGCTTTACAAAATTAAGTCCTCCCATTTTCCACATAATATCTATTTTGATTAGTAAAGACGTTGAATCTTTAAATTCTAAAATAGGGTGTCTATTGTCTTGGCTAAAACTTGTTTCCCTTTTCAGTAGCTCTATAACAATTATTTTCTTATCACTTTATCTTGCTTAGCGGCATCTGAGTTTTCAGAAGTATTCTATAGCACTTTGAGGATATTTGATTATAGTGGTTTTGACATTGGAAGGTGCCCAACCACGCTTGACAGGGTGTCAGAGCTGTACTTTTTGTCCATGTATCTGTACCCACATGGATGGTCTGTAAACAACTTTTATGGGGCATATATTTTTAACTTGTTGTCCTTACTTGTTTTATGTCAGCATAGCAGGGTGGGGGAGACCAGCTGCTGTTGGAAATTCTAATTTCCTTGCTCATTACATTCCAGACCTGTGCTAGGGCCTGAAATATGACTCTTTACTTTAGGAGATTGTTCTAACCTGCAGGCGCTGCCTCTCCTGGGACAGCTATGCCTCTGGGACAATTACAGAGCAACTGGAGCCCTCATGTTTTTTATGGTTAAAAATAAGAACACCACACCCTCCTCTGAGCCCCACTTAATCCTCTTCTGCGTGGGGGACTTCCTCTGGAAGGAGTAAGGCTTTGAAGACACAAGAGTGTCAAACTCTAACTTACCTTCACGGTCTATCAGGAGGAGCCTGCAGCGGGCATATTGCTTGGTGCTGTCTTAAAATCTCACCTGTGGCCCAAGCCCAGACCCAGGTCACGCTACTGTCCCTTTACTTCTTGATGCACTGTGTTAATGTGACAGCTGTCCTCTATCCACCGTCATGCAGGAGCTGAGAGTCAGACTCCTGTCCTTTGGGCTTCTGTGCGTTGCCACTGTTAGGAGGTGTGGATATGAGCAAGGAGACGGATGGTGGATGCTGCAGGCACACTGTCCAGTTAACATTGCTCCTCTTGCTCGTTGAGAGGTAGAAGAGAACGGTGCTATTTAGTTCCTCTGAACCGGACAATGGATATGAAGATAATAGAGATGATCTTCCTGTACTTTAATAAGCAAAAGTTTCCAAGTGTAAGCAGCTCGCCACTTTTGGTGTGGGAGCTGGACTCATCTTTTTTTTTTAACTTTCTTTTTATTTATTCTTTGTTTCTTTTACATCAGGTATCTCAACCCCATTCATTTCCCCATCTTTTTATATCCACCCTCTGCCCTTGATCCACCTCCACACACCAAGTAAAATAAAATTTAAATTAAAAAAAAAAGGGGAAAATTTCATCATGGAAGCTGTGTGTGACATAGTGAGCCACACGGTAAATCCTTTTGTTCATACGTCTTCACTTTCAAGTGTTGATTGCAAGAGTCATTGCTCTGGTTCAAGGGCTCTGGTTTCTGCTACACGATGGATCCTGGGCCCTCACTGGGACTCCTCTTGGACATCCTGATGTTGCCCTGTGTCGTGGAGATCCTGCAGCTCTGGGTCTGTTGGACTGGCCCCTTCCTGTGCTCCTGCAGGTCATAGACAGGGTGGATATTATATGGGTCAACTTACAACTCTGATTCTATGTAGTTGCAGGGTTTGCCGGTCCTCCTGCTCTCCCTTATACTCACCTCCAGCATTGCCCCCTGCTAGTTCACCTTGCAGCAATAGGCTTTCATGCCCTCAGATTGGGCTTGCCCACACCTACATCATCCGGACCAGCTCTACTGTGCTGCCCAGGTGAGGTGCAGTGACCTCTTCTCCTGAGTGCCGCAGCTGGTGAGGGGCAGGGACAGCTCTCCGGCTCTTCATGACCTCAGGGTCAACTCTCCTACCTGCCACAGGTGGCAAGGGGCGAGTGGGCGGGCATCTCTCTGCTGCCTATACCACAATATGGCAGGTGATGGGTGTGGCTAGATCTCCCACGCTCACGTTTCTCAAGGCCTTGATCGGTGTTCCTGTGCATAGAGTCAGCTCTGCCGTGCTGGCTGGCTGCACTCTCTTTAGCCCTTTGAAGCCAGAATGCTGAGCAGTGCCCATTAGCAAGGCTTGGGGCACAGGAGTTCTCTGAAGAACCGCATGGGGCTAGGACTTTAGCCTCTCAGCCTGGTTCTCTCGATGGCAAGCCAGTCACCACGAGCCCACGGAGTTAGAGGAGCAGAGATGCAGTGAGCCAGCTGTGGCGAGTCGAATCGCCAGCCCTGGTGCCTCATTCCCCAAAGTGTTCTACGGCAGGGTCCGCCTAGGAAAGCTAGAATCACCTCAGACACCGACGGTATGCTCTGACATAAATCCAGGGACTATGGAGGAGAAACCTGCTCAGGCCTGGATCACCTGAAAGGGTTCCGGCCTGGCCGCATTCATCGTGTGAGAGAGCAGATCCTTTCTTTGAACTTGGAGACAGTCTTGCCAAATAAGGCTACTTGAAAAAGCCCAGAGCAAAGTTGTTTTGTTTTCTTAAGGTTTGGGTTTGCCTCTGGCTCTTGTTATCATCCTGCTCCTGTTTTTAATTCTTGCTTTCTCCCTCTCGGCCAGGCTCGGGAAGATGGTCTCACCGTCATTCAGCCTCACTCCCTGTCCTTCGTGAACTCGGAGAGTCCCGCCGGGAAGATTATATACAATATCACCGCACCTCTGCATCCAAATCAAGGTAAGCTACGCCGTGAAGGTGGTGAGAGACTGACGCTCTTGCCTTGTGATCCCGGACCAATCCTAAAACCTCTGGGCTTCAGCCTACTTCTTTACAGTTAACTTTCTCAGGAGAGTTAGGGCAGCTCCGAGACCACGTGCCTCCCTCGAAAGACTAAATAAGACACGAGAGAGGAACACAGCACGAGTCCCATGCCTGCAAAGTCTCTGAATTGCAGCCAGGAAAGCACTGATCGTAACCTGCGTGCTAACTGTAAGCCTCGGTCTGTCCTCTAATAGTCAAGAGCCAGGCTATTGTTCCTGGGATCATCACAGAAACAGGGGAGTGTCTGAAATTAAAAGAAAGCCGAGAAAAATATTCTTTTGGCACCTCAGAAGATCACTTTGGGCCCATGCCTTAAAGACCTTTTGCCTTTGTGTTGAAACTCAGTTGGAAGTTTCCTAGTGACAGTAATACGCCATTCACGTATGGAAAAGCATTCTCACTTGCTGTCCACCTTCTTAGTGGAACAGTCTTTCCATCTGACCCTGGACATCACCTAGGCTTGCTGGCCAGCCAGCCCCAGGGGTTCTTCCTATCTCTGTCTCCCCGACACTGGCCTTACAGATGCGTGCTATCTATCACCCATGGGTGCTGAGGAGTCAAAGCCTTCATTGCACATGCTCTACTGGCTGAACTGACCCAGACCTGTCCGTTTCCCGAGTAACTTGGCAGCAGTAGTGCAGGAAGAACAGCTCAGGAGCCAGTGCTCCTGAATGATACTCGCGCTCACGGACAAGGGGCGGGGTGGGTGGACCTGGCCATCCTGTCACCCAGACGTTGCTGTCTGTACTCATGAGTCTCTTCCTCCCCAGGTATCATTGAGCACAGAGACCGACCTCACTCTCCCATCGGGTCTTTCACTCAGGAAGATATTAACCAGGGCAAAATCATGTACCGTCCTCCTGCTGCGGCCCCCCACCTCCAGGAGATCATGGCCTACTCCTTCGTCGGTAACGCTTTCTTTCTCTGCCTTGAGGCACCCAGTCTTTCGTAATCTTCATGGCTGGTTCTCCTTCTCTTTCAAAAAACTTATATACAGTTTGCTGACACTCTTCTTCCCACTTAACATAACTTGGGGCCCATCAGCCTGTCTGCGACTTGGCTCAAGTCTGTCTTCTTGTCTTCTTTCATTGTTAATTCCCACCGTAGGCGCACTTCCAGCCAACTTTGATTTAGTAGCTCAGGTATGTCAGTCACTGACTGAGGGGTTGGGGATACAGTAGAAAACAAAATGAGTCACTGACCTGCTTTTGGACTGAGTAGGGGCTCTGTATAGAAACTGCTAAGTAAATAATCACAATAGTGAATATTTAGTTGCAGATTTGAGATGAGAAGCTCTGGGAAAAAGAAGAAGTGTTCAGCGATAAAATCAAACCCAAGGCTGATCCAGACTGGGAAGTTAAGAGGTGGCTGTCCAGGTAGCTATTGGCAAGGTGGGATAGGTAGTAGCTAAAATAGCTAAGTGCTTGAGGGGTGCACGGAGAGGATTCTGGGAGGGAGACAGTGTGCCTCCCATGAGGCCTTGGGGAAAAGAAAATGTAACTTTCTAGGGATTGCAAAAGAGGCAATGATATTCCTGTGATGTCCAGAATGTAGCCAAACAGGCGGGGATGGGCCTGATGGGAGAGTAAGCCAGAGTTGACACTCCACAGGAGCTCCTAAAGAGCTGCGTGTTTAACCCAAGACCGTGAGGAATCCAGGGGAAGTCGAAACTGCAGGGAATGTTTTTCATGAGGACTCTTTCTCTACAGTGACATGAGCAAACTTGAGAAGGGCGCCAGGCTAGGATGCTGAGTCCCCTGTGGATTGCGGTTTCTCAAGGGAGATCCATGTATGCATGGAGAATGCGGGTGATCTTCCAGCTTGACCTCCAGGATTTGGCAGAAGATGGTTTAAAAAGTTTTATTTTAAAAGCTTGAATAGAAAAGCAAACTGATGAAACTTTTGTTCATTTATTAAAGCCAGTGCATAACCTTTCTCTGCAGCAGACTAGCCTAACACTGCCCGCCATCCCTTCCTCCCTCCTTCCAGTGTAGCAGACCAGCCTTAATGCTGCCCGCCATCTCTTCCTCCCTTGAATCTGTAGTTAGCGCAGCTAGGAAGTTGTGATTCCCCACTCCCAAGTTCTGTGCCTTGGGTGATTCTGAAAATCTTGGTGTCTGTTTATTATAATATGTAAGCTATGTGTACTATGCAACTTTATAAATAGATATTACATTTATATCATAAATTTATTCAAAGCAGCTGGTTATTTCTCTTAGGAAATTGACTATGTATTAAATAATTATAAGGTTTCTTTTTTATTATGGTAAGTAAACCTAAACTGCTATTTGTCATTATTTAGTATGAATTCAAATGTCCAGAATGTGATTCTCAATTAGATTGAAAATCCCTAAGGGCAGGCAGAGGCCCATTCTCTGAGGAGTACCCTCAGTATCTAGTAACTGGTTAACTAATAGCCCCTCCAAAGTATGCTTGGTTCTCTAGCCCCTACTTTACAGGAAGCTTGGGTAATACTGAGATTAGAGAAAAAGAAACTCTGTCAGCTGTGCGTAGAGTAATTTCCAGGTCTGCTAGACTTGTCTTAGTTCCACGAGTTGCTTTGGAAGGAGTAGAGCCATGTCCTGTCTAACCATGGGATAAATGCCTTGAGATAAATCTCTCACAGCCACAGTGTGTAAATCAGTGTTCAGATGTCACTCAGGTCTACAGTGGAACTCACCCCCCCATACACTGTCAATGTTATATATCACCCACATTCACCAGTTTGTAGGGGTTCATGTACTGATAAAATAGGATCTGAATGAATGTATTATAAGTCACCCTAACTGCTATGGCACCAAATTATTCTAGTATGAGTATCCTTTTTATACTTAAAATTAATGCTAGCATCATTATGTCCAACATTCCATGAGCAGAGGACCTCCTGACTGCTCCTTAAACCAGATCAATTTCGATTTAAACACTGTTTACTCCCCAATTGCTACTCTATATTTTGTGCCTTCCCTGTCTCTCTCTGATCCCAAAATGTTCAATACACTGATTTTCCTCTCTTGCTCTTTTAGGTCTCCCAGAATCAGTGAAATTTTACTTCACAGGTAAAGACTTTAATCTCGGTTTTATTGGAAACTGAAATATATTCTTCCCTTTTTGTTTCCTAGAAGTTATGTTATCTAACCTATTAAGATGCCCAATATTAATGTTCTTTGAACTCTAGTGGAACTTGTCCATTTATTGAAAAGAGACAATAATAGTCAAGATCTTAAAGTTGGGGTCCCACAAACTGGAGTTCAGCCACTCTGGGAAGGTTTCCTAATACCCTTGTACGTGGAAATTTATCATAATGGAGATCACCATCATGATGTGTGTTCAGCTCCCAGGACAACTGGCATGTGAGCATCCATGTGTCACGCCCAGCTGATGTTCTATGGAGTCTTGAATAGCGCCATGTATTAAATGCCTTGCCTCTGGAGAGAAAAGTCTTTGGGCCCAGATCATGAAATGAAAATGCTTCTAGAAGTTTCTGCATCCTAGCTTTGCTTCATACTGCAATAAACGCTGAGCTGGCACAGGGAAAGGCATTCTTGCTCAGGTTAGAGTGAAGATGGTTGATTTTTAAGCCAGCTGTTCAACTGGGATTAAACATTCTGTTGGAACCAATCCTCCTTGGATCCTGTGATATTTTATGTGGGCAGAAATCTTGGTGGGATTGAAAAATCTTCCCCCAAATTGCCCTGCATTTCTGTTCTCTTTGAGGGGAAAACCCTGCAGCAAACTTCAGTGCTGCACCGCGACTGTATGAACCCATCATCTCTTGCATCTCATGCATCATTGCATGCAGGTCATACACGCAATCAGTACCCAGGAGTGGCTTTCTCTTTTCTTTTTCAAATCAATTTACAACAAATGTCATTTTAGGAATTACCTGGTAGGGTTCTGAAGATGGCTGTTGTTTCTAGTATTTCAAGCTAACAATCCTGCTGGGCTCATGTACTCTGGGAAAGGGCAGAGTAGCATTTAATTCAAGTTCCTGCAATATGGGATGGTTTTGTGTTCTAAAACCTATGGGGTTAGGTCATGAAAGGCAAAGGATGTACCATGCCCCATCCTTTTAACCAGAAGGCTGAGAGTCAACAATTAACTTGCCCAGGACCTACAGCTAAATGATCTTTAAGCTTCCATAAGGCTAAAAGAATGGACCTTGGGCTGACTTTAAACTATCTTGTTTCCAGCCCTAGATTCCTGTCTTTTGTGGGGAGGGTCTGTTTTTGGAGAAATGCTCTTATAATCTAGTAGGAAGGCAGCAGCCTCTTTGAAAGGAGATTTGTGGCAGAATTTTTGAACTGGAGAGATCATGAACTAAAGCAGTGACCAGCCCAAACCTTGACCCTAACCCGAAGAATGAGGGCGAACAGCTCACTGTGGTGCATCTGCTAACCCCAGAAGGCTAGTCGGTGCTCCTGGCGTGGCCGGCCTTAAGGTATGCACAGGTCCTCTGCAGAGCGGTTCTAGACAAGAAACACCTGTCAGACAAATGGGGCCCGCAGGAAGTGGTTAACCCGAATAAGCAGTGTGACTGTTGTTCAGAGAAATCAGAAATACTTTTTAAGAGAGGGAAGATGTGAAATTCTTCAGATTTTTATTGGCAGTTTTTGCATTTGCTTTTGAAACACTGCAACCGTGTGACATGATTTCTAATTATATAATACTCTCTGGTAGATACCTCCCTGCCCCTAAAGAGGCAAGGATGTGTTTGATCACAGTGAACAGTTGTGTGATCAGGCCAGAGCTCTTGTAGTGTTAGACTTTGCTGTCTTTCACCATGTAGGGTTGTTGAAATCTCCCTGAGCCTTTTCTCTTTCAAAGTAAAACCGATGGAAGTAATAGCAAATATAACTGTAGTTTCACAATTATTTCTCTCTCTCTCTCCCCCCCCCTCTCTCTCCCTCTCTTGTTTTTTTTTTTTTTTTTTTAAACACAAGATTTCTATTGTACACTCTAGGGACCTCAAGAGAGTACTGAGTCCATAGAAATTGGCAGAAGATTGTATGTGTGTCCACAAGCCTTTAAAGTCAAGACTCTCCCTGTTTCTATCCTTGATCATTCAAAGAGAAGGAGATTAAACATACGCAAAGAAACAGTGGCAGCGGTTTTGACACTTCACTAAAATGACCAGGGCCACAAAACCTTCATTCTCACTTGAAGGGGCAGTTTGGGCCTTCCTATGATAGACGTGAATGGTGTCTTGTCTATTAAAGCCACAATAATTAGATCTGTCTCCAGGACAAGGCAAACCTAAAGCCTTGTCATTATCCCTGAACCATACTTCACATGGTTTGAAAGGTCACATTCCTGCCAACGTGCTGACATGTCCAGAAGACAGAGAAAGAAACCGGTTTCCTGTAACCACACCACCTGCAAGTAAAACAGCTAACAGTGCTGTCTTCTCAGTAGCCATGGTAGATAGCACACTGATGTTTCCTGTACCCACCACTCCTGGCTTTAGAGAGGGGACGGAAGGAGTTACAGAAAACCCAGAAACGAGAGTCAAGGGTTAGACAGTTCTGCTCTCATTTCCTGTGGAAGACGAGGATCCTCTTGGATGGAATTAAGCCAGGGAAACAGAAGATAAGGTCACTGTTTTGCAGTGGTGTCTCCTATTTATGGCCATGGACATAGCAACAGGGTAAATATGCATCTGCTTACTTGCGCACCCATGCTGCGAGAGACGGGGACAGATGTCTATCCTTCAAAAAAATAAAAAATAAAAATAAAATGAGACAGTCACTTCCAAAAAAGAGTGCTTAAAAGAAAGTATTTTTTTTTTCTGGCGTAATGAAGGAATGAAGTATTCAGAAAACCTTTCCATAAATAGAAGTCTTTGCCGGTACCACTTGGGAACTTTAACCCTAGCACTTGGGAGGTTGAGACCAGGAATTCAAGGTCATACCTGGCTGTAGAGTGATTTGGAGGCCACAGTGAGCTATATGAGATCCTGCAGGGCACTTTCTGTTGTTTGTTTTTTAAGTGCTTATTTTACATTGTTTTCTACCAACGAGCCTCAAAATCACCCTTTGAGAATACCTTCTTAAAATAACTTTGTCAGAAACTTCTTATTTAAATAAATCAAAATTTGTAATCTTTTAGGAAACAAAAAAAAAATAGCTTTGCCCTTGTGAACTCCCATCCTTTGTCTTATCCATAGAAAATGCCTTGGTAGATTTGTTCATCATCCCTTCTTCTTACTTTCAAGCATCTCAACACATTGCTGTTTGTTGAAATAGGGTAAAGGTGAGCAGACTGTACGCTGATTTACATTTGCACATGTGTGCTCAGTCACGTGAGTGTATATGTGTGTCTTTACTTTTGCCAGTTTCTGATGGACAGCACACAAGCCCAGAGACGGCCCTCACCATTCACTTACTTGGCTCTGATCGTCAACCGCCAGCATTTCAGGTCAGGGCTCCGCTGCTGGAGGTTAGCCCCGGAGGCCGAACCTCTCTAGGTAAGAACTAGGGTCTGGGAGAAGCCTGGAAATCAAACTGTGTTGCAGCCACTGTGGGAACTTCTTTACAGCTGCCCAGAACAGTGGCCTCCTCTTCCAGAAGTGTGTTCAAGCCCACTGCATCCTCCATCCTGCCCATTCCTATGCAAATCAAAGCAGTTCTGATAGCAGAGAGGAGGAAACAGACCCTTCAGAGGCCAGCCTTGTGATGGAATTCTACCCAGAATTTATTTCCCAGCCTCCTCGAGTTTGATTTGTTATCCTTGCTACAATATAAAGTAACAGGGCTGAGAAGAGAGGGAGCAGATTTCAGCGACTGCTTCTGGTTTCTGTTTAAAACTGATGGATCGCAGTGACCTTCAGGAGTGTGACGAGCTGCCTGTCCCCCAGTGCATGATTTTATTTATTTCTAAGTGCGCTTATTCTTTTACGGTTTGTTTACTCTTTTACCAAGGGCATTCTATTAGTGGTGTGTATTGTGTGTACTCTGTGGATCCATGTGTGTTTTCTACACGTGGCTTTTGTCCTGAAGCTAATTATGCCATTTGTACAATCTGACCAAAAGTTATTTGTAAGGAATCGTATAAACGAGCCATAGAGACAATGCGAAAGTTGCTGCTCTCTTGATGATTTTTCTGGACGGCTGGAACAGCCATCACGAAACCAGCACTCTTGGTAGATTTAGGAAAATCAGAGAAGTCAGATGAACACCGAGACCAGTTCATGGGCTATTTCCAAAGGACGCTGCTTAGGCCAGACCTACGGATGGCCCTTTGTGCTTGCCTTCATTTGTACGGGAGAAAAGAATGTCCTCAATTCTGAGCTACCCTTTTGGAAGGGAACTTTTGAAAGAACCTGCTTGCAACTGGTGGATTGGCCATGTTCATCTTCACTTACCCTGTGCTCACTGTAACTTCGCCCTGCTTTATGGTTGTCAGAACTTGCCACTGGCTCCGCAGCCTGCCTCTGGTTTTAATCTACTGAGAGCACACAGTTGTCGCTGTAGCTGGCCTCTCTCTCTCCTTCCTGCAGGCCTGCAGTTGGTAGCCACAGATGCTCGGGTGATACCCGAAGAGCTCTTCTTCCAGCTGCAGAAGCCTCCACAGCATGGCTCTCTCCTCAAGTCCACGGCAGAGTCCTCGGGGCCCATGGCTGCAGGTAGATACAGTCTCGGTAGCTGGCCTGCTTGGGGATATTTTTTTTTTAACCTCTACAATTAGTTTTGTGTGACTTAGAAAAGAAGTGAAATGCCTGTGGGGGATAAAGCAGGAGGAAAGATATTCTTGACCTAGGCGTCCTCTGCCCTCCAACGGCCCCTGCCCCTTCTGAAATCCGTGAGGCTCTTTTCCTCAGCCTGTGAGTGAGATGGGCGAGTGAGCTTCCACTTCATGTGGTTTTTCACAAAGGCTCATATGCTCTCTTAATTTCATATGTGAAATGACTGGTAGTGTTAGCTTTGTGTTTCTTCATCCATTAGAAAAAGGATATACTTTAAAATGCTATCTAAACTGTGTAACAAGCTAGAGGGGCAGTCAGCTTTCCTAAAATGGTGTTTTTTTGCACTTTCTCGGGTTATAAATGCTACCCACTGGGGCCAAACAGTTGGCTCAGCAGTAAAGAGCACTTGTTGCTCCTTCAGAGCACCTGGGTTCAGTTCCCAGCAGCCACATGGTGGCCTACAGCCTTCTCGAACTCCATCCCCCAAAGACCCAAAGCACTCTCTGACACACCAGGCACCAGGCACACCCATGGTGCACATCTACACCCACAGGCACAACATTCGTGCACCCAAAACAAATCTAAAATAATTTTAAAGACATATGATCCCATAGGGAGTATAGAAAAGCACACACACACACAAAACAAATCTCTCTGATTTATTTAAACAGTGAGCACTTACATAGCAAAGTGAATATTCTCCCTTCTAAAGTGGTTATCCAGGAATGCCGTATCTCACTTCCATAAATCTGTACTTTCTCAAATACTTGAGATGCCTGCTTTTTAGAGATTTAGTGATACGTACTTCTGAATTTCCCTGGTTGGGTAAATCTTTGCCCATTTGATGCAGATTAAAAAAGTTTTAAAGAACAAAGAATAGGCTCTTTGGGTCACAAAGGCAATCGTCCCAGGGCAGTGATGAAGGGAGCATCCTTAGGACAGGAGGTGTGCACAGCAGCCTTTATCCTGTTTCCTCGGTGTTGCGCGTAGCCAGCACTTCATTGTCCTGTTTCCGGTGTCACACTTAGCCTGCACTTATGATTGGCAAGTGACATCTGGAGGCGTTTGTAAAGAGTTAATACCTGTTTGTAGCTGCAGGATCTACCAATGTTGGTGAAGTCATGCACTTAGGGCACAGAAGGTAAATATAGAGATGAAGGAAATCCCTCAGTCTCAGCACTAAATCCCATTAGTCCCAGCTAATCATTGTCATAGCAAGGAACCTCCAAAAGTTACAACTGGGGAGAACACCCCAGAAGACAATTTCTTCAGCTGTGTTCTGTGTAATCACAATAGCCCATGACTAGAGACATGATTCATTAAAGAAAAAAAAAAGTTCCATGGCTCAAAAAACTTTGAGTAACTTTGATATTGTGAATTAAATTTTCTAAAATTACAATCGAATTTACAATTTAAGATGTAAATTTGGATTGCATTTAATTCCATTTTGTATGAACCTCTGTGATCCTAAAACTTCCCATCCTGTCTGTTTTATCTATTATGATGATGCTCTAGATTTGTACCCTGAGCTCTGCAGCTTGCACTTTAAGCATCGAGGAACAACTCCCACCCCACACTAGTGTTCAAAATGAGGCCCTGCACATGCTAAACAACTGACCAATCACTGAACTCTCAATGGTATCTTCACATTTTAATTTTAAAAAACTTAAATGCACAAATTAAATCAGTGCCTCTGGTGGCTCAAAGAGTGTTGTCTCTCTTCTTAAGTCTTCAAGCAACGTTCAGTGCCCTGATTAGATTCAGAGGGCAGTCAAGAAGAATATAAGCATGTTCTCTGTTTTTCTAGAACTGGGAGTGATGACTGTTCTCCCAGAGCCCGATTTTAACTCATTTAAATTTAACCGATTTAGAGCCTTAAATATATATATATATATACCAGGGCTATCCCCCAGAAGGATTAGCTACCTTGTTAAACAGCCTCTCACCTTGAGAAGTGTGGAGGGACAAGCTAACCCACCCTCTCTCTGGGGAGACCTAGAGGGGATGCCAAGTTGGGTGGGCGGTTGAACGAAGTAGCTTCCGAGTCCCAGAGTATATGATGCTGCGCGCACTTTGAAATCGGGAGAGCGAAGGGGCTGGCTGAATGGGGAAGTGTGATTCCCACCAGTCACTGGCTTGACACGTTGGCTTTGTTTTCCTCTCGGAAGGTGACACCTTCACGTATGAGGAGGTCGAGAGAAAAGCCCTGCAGTACATGCATGACGGGTCCTCTGCCTGGGAGGACAGCATGAGGATCTCAGTCACGGACGGCCTGACTGTGACAACTTCCGAAGTGAAAGTGGAGGTGTCGCCGTCAGAGGCCCGAGGGCCGCGGCTGGCCCCTGGTTCCTCCCTGAGCATGACTGTTGCCAGTCAACGGACGGCCGTAATCACCAGGGCAAACCTTGCCTATGTGGTGAGTTCTGACGTTTACTCTCTTGCTCTCTGTCCTTCCGACCGGGCACCCAGCAAGCTGCCGCATGGCTGGGTACTCGAGACAGCGGGCGTATGCAGTGTAAAAGGCTCTTCTCTTAGCACCCCGGCTGTGTTCTCTTCGGAGTCGTACCGCACACCCTGGCCTCAGCCAGCGTCTCAGCAGTAGACAAGCGAATGCGCGTCTCTGGTGGGGGCTGGGGAGATGGCTCAGTGGGCGGTGTGCTTGCAGCATGGCTGTGAAGACTGGAGCTCAGATCTTCAGGACCCGTCTAAGAGCCCTGTGGGCCCAGCAGCCAGCCTGGGGTCTCAGCTGCAAGGAGCGAGAGGAGCTCCTAGATTAGCTGAATCAGCAAGGTTGGTCTAGCAAGAGACCTCGCCTCAAATGATCAAGAAAGACACCAGGCATCGTATCTGGCCTCCACGTGTTTGTGTACACACACGTGAACATACATACACATGCGTCTACTCCGCAGACACACACACAAAAAGGAGGCAAAACTTAGGATGAAAATACTGGGACTCCCAAGGGCTTTTGATTGTCAACATGCAACAACTCCCTTGACTTAAAAGCTCCAGGTCCATTGTTTTCAGTGTGGAGGGCAGAAGGTCTACTGGGAATTTTAGGAAAAGAACAGTTGCCTGGTCAGTGATGAAGAAGTAATGGTTGATCCTGACTTCCCGAGAGAAAGCTGACTTTCTTGAGCTCGCTCTTGTCCAGTCCAGACAGAATACAAGCCTTGCCCTCCACCCTTTGGTGGCCCCTCTCTCTGCAGATTTCCTAGGCCAGCCCTATTGGCCTGATAGCCACCCCCTGCCCTAAGAGAAGGAGAGCGGTTGAGAAGGGGAGAACCAAGGACGTTGGGGATTTCCCCTGTGTCTGGCTCAAACTTGATTAAGTGATCTTGGTAATTAAACTCGTCTGCCTTCTTTGATTCTGCATCTGGGGCAAAGGATAATGAGGATAGTTAATTTTATTTTGCAGTTACATATGTTGTAAAGAGATGACTACTGTCTATATAAACATAATGATGATTGGTTGTTGTGCTTTGAAAGGAAGGATAATTATTTGAATGGTAATCATTCTTAGTATTGAATTTTTCCTTCACTGGCCTCAAAATTACGATGAACAGCCTATCCCTACCCCTCATTTTTAAACACTATATGGCTTCAGTTATCCTTTTTGCTGTGCAATGGTGGCACATGTTTTTAATCCCAGCACTCAGGAGGCAGAGTCAGGCAGATCTTTGTGAGTTCAAGGCCAACCTGGTGTCTACAATGCGATTTCCAGGTCAGCCACTACTACACAGAGAAACCTGTCTTGAGAAACAAAACACAAGATAAAGAGAGTTGTCCTTTTCTGAGCTGAAGAATCTCACTGTAAGGTTCAATTCCAAACAGTAGGCCTTGGATGAGGTCCTGAAGACTGTTTCCTCCTTTAAATCGTCTTTTCCTAAAGGATGTGAAACCGAGCACACTTGATTCCCCTTGTGGGTGCGCTATAGTTTCAGCAAAGTTCCGACGGTGTTTAATTGGCCGATTATTTTTCATCCTATGTTATGGTCCTTTGATCCTGGGAAAGTCATGAATTTGTAAAAATGTATGAATTCGGATTTAATCGATAGATCACCAGGCTTGAAAAATGTTTGACAGACCGAAATAGTTCTCCAGGAGCAACGCCTGCCCATTAACCACACATCACGAGCTGTACATCAGAATGGGAGCTCTTTGGCAACTGAACGTATATTTTCAAAAATTGATTGAATGTGAATTTACCCACCAGAGCAGAAAGATTTCAGGGAACTCTTCTAGGCTGCTAAAAGTGCAGGCACTGGCAGGCTACATACAGCTGTTCCCTGGGTTGTACAGTATGGGGGAAAAAAGGCCTGAAATACTGAAGGTTTTGGTAATGGGAAAGCTATTAAGAATGGCGGTCCTAAGTGGACAGAGTACACAGAGAACAGCCGAGTCTCCTCGTCATTAGAGTGTGGACACAGGAGGAAGATGAGAGGGTGGTGGAATATGCCACGGCAAAAGTGGGACCTGGCATGGTTCCTCTATAAGGCTACTTTATTGTTCAGTTTTAGGGTCGCAAACTAGCTGTATAACCAAGGATGAGCTTGAACATCTGGTCATTTCCTGCTTCTACTTCCCAAGTGCTGGGGTTACAGGTGTGTGCTACCACATTGTATATATCCACAGCTGTAGGCAATACTGGGAACCAAGGCTTCATACATGCTAGTCAAGCAGTCCCCAAATAAACCACACACACACACACACACAGAGTTTCCTTAGTGTGTATGTGTTCTCGAGTTTGAACTGATGTTTTAATTCCATCTTGCCTCTCTATGAGAAGTGCAAGCTTAACATTAAAATGTGGATAGCATTTCTATATGCCATCCAAAACTGAAATAATTCAAAATAGGATATGTTTTATCTTATTACATATCATGTAGCCGGGAATCAATTTTATCAAAATACATGTAACTTCCAGGGAAAATCGAGGTCATAACCAGCAATGTAGAAAACTCAAATGAATTTTCTGAAAAAGAAATAAAAGAATAGGAGGAAACAGGGAAGGAGGGGGAGTCAACCATGGTGGCCCTCACCCTGATCTCAGCACTTAGAATTCTCAGACGGAGAATAGGAGGCCCTCACATTTGAAGTCAGCCTGTACTACATTAAAAAAATAAATAAATAAATGTCTCTAAAATATAAAAAGAAAGAAATTTAAAGAAGTCTCCAAACACCTAGACTATTCGACCTAGTAATATATCAAGTCATATTTAAACATTGAAACTGGGAATGGTGGTGCACACCTTTATTCCCGGCTCTTGCAAGGCATAGACAGTTTGAGTCCAGCCTGGTCTACAGAGCATGTTACAGGACAGCTAGGGCTACACAGACAAACCATGCCTTGAAAAACCAAATTAATAGTAATAAAGGAAGACAAAATTAAGACTGACTAAAGGGTCCAAGGGCAGGATAAAAGAAGTGCATGTAAGTTAATTGTGTGTGTGTGTGTGTGTATGTTCCTGTGTGTTTGTATGCATGTGTAGGTCTGTGTGAGCATGTAGGTTTCACTCCTTTTATTTGAGACAGTGTCTCACTAACCTAGGACTCTCTGAGTCGACTAGGCTGACTGGCCAGTGAGCCTCAGGATCTGCCTGCAGACCCCTTCAGCACTGAGATTACAAGCATGTGCCACCTAATCTAGCTTTCTCTAATGTGGGTTCTAGGGATCAAACTCGGGTCTTCCTGGCTGCATAGCAAACACTTTCCCGACTAAACTATCTTCCAAACCCTTAAACTAATTATTATCTAATTCTCATGGGCTAAATAATTATTTATATTCACTATATACATATCACATGTCAATTTCTTTAGAATGAATAAGAAGAATAAAATGAAAATATAAATTCATCCAGAGTGAACATGAAGGTCATTGAACAGGGAAATTACATGAGAAGAGGATCTGTTTTCATAGGCATTTTGATTAACTCATGCTCTCTTGGCTGGCCTCATATGGTGATTTTTTTAAAAAATTATGACAAGGTATTTTCAGAAGAAGAAAACAATAGCTGATTTCTCACGTATGAAACTCAGAAAGGTTTTGAAAATTGGAGTATAATAAGATAATGCCTGGCCCAGAATAAGCATCTCTTTGCCGGATTTGCCAGTGTTTGAGAAAGACGCTTCTCACTAAGAATCAGGTACCCTATCCTTGTCGTTCTCACATCTCAGAAGAGGGCACTGGAAAGTTCTCCATAGTCCTTTGAAGGTCTGTCTCAGTGAGAACTCACAGGAATAGTAGGTGGTGACTTTTTGGAAACCAGTGTTTTCCATTTGACTCCACACACAGAGAAAGGAGAAAACAGTAAGATTATACATTTAGAAGTTTTCTGAAGTCTAGCTGCCTCTGTATGTTCCTGTTCCCTTGTGGGCCAGTGTCAGGTGAGCTGAGACAATTCTGAGATCTTGCACTGTGGTTCCAACTGTTCATTGAAGGAAAGCTGCCCCCAGGGATGGACATGGCTGCCAAGGACCCAGACCTTGCTTGCCCAGCCTGCCCATTATATTTGCTCACGCTTCCTTTCCATCCCTCACTAGCTGCACGGCAGTAAAATTGATCACACAGCATTTGTTTTCATTGTTGCTGCCGTAGAACAGAGTGTCCCCATTTTCATTTAACTCCTCTAAAAGCAGATGGCCCAGGGAGACCCCAAAATGACATCGCCTGCCTTCTAGACATTCCGAAAAAATATTCTTGAAGAAAGAGGAAATTGTTAATGAAGATATTCTGTTATTGTCCATGTAGACAAACAGAAAGCTGATCTTGTTTCTCAATAAGCCATCGAGGAGAAGGAAATGTTCTTTATTAAGATTAAGTGCCCTAGGAAGCGAGGAGCCATTATTCAGTCCTTGTCGAAGGAAATCCACAAGACCTCCTAAATTCTTTTGTTAATCCAAGTTTTTGTCACATTGGTGTTACTTGAAGTGAATCATTGGCTAAGCAGATTCTGTTTCATAGTTTTGTCATTGTAGAGTGTATTATACACTATAATAGAATTTTGAGTATTTCTAAAATGCAACGTGTTCTTAGAAACTGCAGGGGAAGCTTTCTCCTGTGTTTATAGAATGACGAGTTAGAGCTGGCATCTTCTCATCTATACTGTGTACATGTGATAAAAATACACCATTATGACTCTTACGGAAACAATAAACCATCTTTTGTTCCCCTCCCTATACCATAAGCACATTCTGCACTGTTACCTTAAGTTATTCTTCCAAGAAGACATTATACCAGAGGCCTTTGCAGATGGATAAATACTGAGCTTTTATGGAGTTGGGAGAGGTATTGCTTTATGACAGTGGGCCGCTGCCTTTAGCATAGGAGACAGTAAGCCCCTGTGGGTCTCTGCATTCATGTCCTGACTCATGTTTGCCTGATTAGGACGATTCTTCCCCTGACGCAGAGATCTGGATTCAGCTAAGTTCTCTGCCCATGTACGGTGTGCTCTTAAAGACTTCGGGACCTGATGTGGAGGAGCTCTCAGAGGATTCCAATTTCACCATGGAGGACATCAACAGCAAGAACGTTAGGTACATAAGCGCCAGAGATTCTTTGAAAGGGTTTTTAAGCATTGTAGGTAGTAGCTGCCTGTAGCTCCTTCAAAGAACGCCTTGTTTCTGATCTTGGTTTTTTTTTGTTTGTTTGTTTGTTTGTTTTGTTTTGTTTTGTTTGAATACTTTCGCTCCACTTGTCAGGGTGGCTCAACCTGTATTCTCCCGTGTCCTACAGATACTCAGCTGTGTTTGAGACGGAAGAGCATCTGGTTATGGACCGCTTCCACTTCTCTGTGTCAGACATGGACGACAACCGTGTGGACAACCAGGTCTTTACCATCACGGTCACTCCTGCCAAGAGTCCACCACACATCATCGCTTTTGCTGACCTTATCACGGTAAACAGTTCTCAGATCAATAAACACCCAGGGCTTGGGAGAGCTGGGATCCTTGGTGATGTAGCTAAAGGATTTCTGCCAAAGTGAGCATCCAGACTCTTTCCCCCAGAGTATCTGGGCAGTGATAGCAGATTGTCTGTGGCTGTCATTGTAAACTTTTTGTAAAAGAAAAAAAAATTGTATGCAAAAGATAAAATCATTATATTCACATGAGTTAGTAAAAACATGCATACACATGTGCATGCTAGAGAGTATATTATATACATATATATATATACACACACACACACACACATACACACACATAGATGTATAAAAGCAATACTGGATATTGTTGGCAATGGCAACAAAACAAAAGTGGAATACACCTTTGAGGATTTTAGTTGGTAACAACTAAAACGTGGAAAGCTGACCCCACATGAATCAAACCAATATTTCTATTAAAAATCCTGTGTGTGAGAGGCAATATTACACGTGTCTATCACTGATGTTATCAGCCAAGGGCCTGTACCAGCTTTGTTAGGTACTAGCAGGCCGGCTTTGTAACAGGTACGTAATTCTAGCCTCTGTTTCTTCCTTAAACACTACAATGTCTACTACAAAAGGATTTCTCTGGTGATTAAATAAAATAGCCGGCATCTCTCTTAGCACAGTACCTGTCGCACAGCAGGGGAGTCCTGAACACTCACTCATTTTCTTCCCCTGCATCACGTGTGAACTATAGTGCCCCAAGCCTAGGCATTTCCTGCTTCTAGCAAGGACGTTAATATTCATGAAACTCAGAATCATTTCTAGACAGTTGTGCTATTGCCCTTATTTTCCCCTTTCTACAACTTGGGGAAGTAACTTGAACCACCTCAATCCGAGAGTCGCATTTGTAATTATTAAACCAGCCTCCATGCAGCCAAGAGTTCAGAGTAAAATGCCTTGACCACTTCCATCAAGTCAGCAAAAAGGATCGAAGCCAAACTGTAGCGTTAGGACATAGAACCGGACCCCAAAAGAAAAGGTTAGTTCCAGCAACTGCTTGTACATATGCTGATTTATTTCCTTCTTTGATGTTGAGGTATGCATTAACTTTCAGGTGTAGCTAGTCTTTTATTCCTACATCCCAATAAATATACAATATGAAGGAATAAATGGGATTTTTATTCTGGATGGTAAGACCTATAGGACAGTCAACCTCGGGAATATGAAGGAGGGCTACATCTATCATTCACCAGCTACGCTCTGTAGAATTCCGATGCCCCAGGAAGGCAGCTCTCCTGTCCGGAAGCTTGTTGAGATGGTTAGTTAGAACCGGTCAGAACTGCTTTATCACCAGATCCATCACCAAATGAAGTGCCACTTTGAGAAGAGACACAGCGCCGAGGTATCCGAGTGCATCTTGAGGAGGGGCTGAAAGCTTTGCCTGGCTTTGGCAGCGCGTCCCTCGCCTGCAGAGGTCCGCCTCCCACCGAAGTGGACCTGGTGCTAGCTGGTCACCGCAGGCCACCCCTGTCCCTCAGCCCTCCATCCCCCTTTCCTGTCTTCCTCAGGTCGATGAGGGTGGTAGAGCACCGCTCTCCCTCCACCATTTCTTCGCCACTGATGATCACGACAACCTTCACGGTGATGCTGTCATTAAACTGAGTGCTCTGCCCAAGTACGGCTGCATTGAGAACACAGGAACAGGTAACCGTAGCGGCTTTGCTGGAGAACTATTGAAGGTCTGGAAACAGGGGGTGGGAGATATTCTAATTAAACCTGGACATGGAGAATTAAAATGAGAAGAACCCATTTCAAGAAAATGGAAGAAAAGGATTTTTTTCATTAAAAAAAGAAAAAAGTTACTTAGCATATTCTTTATACTTTGCATTTGTACATCGAAGATATACTAATAAACAAAACAGATAACCCTGTCCACCTTCTTACTGACTTGTATCCTAGCAGAGAGAAAGGGCTAACTGGGGAGACAGAATGCGAGAAGGCTCCTAAATGTAGGGAAACTGGAGCAGAGTAAAGGTGTTTGGAGTGTGAGCTATGTGGCTGAGGGCCTCACAAGTTGTGTTCAGAATTAGGGGTCAAGAAAATAAAGATCCCTGTTCTCTTCTGCAGTTCCAATGAACTAAAGCTTGCGTCTGCTCCTTCTATGGAGATGACAGAAATGGAAATGCCTGCTGTCTATTTTTGACACCCACTTCAACATCCCTCCCTTCCTACCATCTGCCCTAGACCTGCTGGAGGTTATCACACAAGGAGAGGCAAAGGCATGTGCCGTCCACCGGCCCCCTGAGACCCACTGTGACTGGCAGCTGAGACAGCTCCTGCCAGTTTCTGAGCTGCTGCGTCTGCAACGAGATTCCCAAGTGAACAAGTGCCGGTGCTAGGCTCTAATTGGCAGGCAGCTAGCAGCTTCAACAGTCAGACCATTGACTGCAGGTGTCGGTGGCCAGCATGGTGCCTGCCACTTGAGCCTGGTAACCGGAAGCTCATTTAGAATGGTCATGTTTTCCTATCAAAAGTCTTGGATCTTTTCCCTCTCTGGCCTTTCCATGTGTGCGTGCAGCTTTGCTTATTGCATAATTAAGCTCCTTTCAACAAATGTTTGCGCTAGATACAATGTTAACATGAATGACATTGACCCTGCCTGGAGTAGGGGACAGCTAGCCTGATGAACTGGATGATAAGTGACAGGAATAGAAACAGAGTGCCGAGGGTGTAGAACAAAGCAATTGCGTCTGCATGAGAAGCAGAAAAGCCCCAGGGTCAAGGGGTCGCTATGGGCAAAGGAAAAATGGCATCTCTTGCAGAGACAAGCGTGTGGGTGAGGTGGGAGATCATGAAAGGTTTTGCCCTCACCACCATTCCTCTCCATGTGGGATTCCCCAGAAGCCCTTGTAGCACAGTTTGACATTTACCGGAAGCACACCAGGTAGCAGATAGACCACACTGGGTACTATCTGGACTACATAGTCACAGTTCTGGCAAGTCTCAACCACTCTAGAAAGTGATTCTCAAACTTTTCTGTGCATTATCATTATCTGAATGGGCCTTGAAAGCATGGTCTCTTGGGCAGAGCCTCAGAATTCCTGTTGAAGAGGTTGGTGTAGCCCACAAACTAACATTTTTTTGTCACCCCATGTGTGACAGACATCCTAGCTGCTGGTCCTAGTGTTGGAGGAGAAGGATACCTGGCTAGCTCAGACCTGAAATAATCACACAGAAACTGGATTAATTAAATCACTGCTTGGCCCATTAACTCTAACCTCCTATTAGCTAATTCTTACATATTACTTTAACCCATTTCTATTAATCTTTGTGTAGCTACGTGGCTATGGCTTACCAGCTAAAGTTTCAGCATGTCTGACTCTGGCTGTGGTTCCATGGCATCTATCTGACTCTGCCTCCCAGCATGCCATTTAATTTTCCCGCCTACCTAAGTTCTGCCCTATCAACAGGCCAAGGCAGTTTCTTTATTCATTAACCAATAAAAGCAGCACACAGGCAAAAGGACCTCCCACACCATTTCCCCTTTTCTATTTAAACAAAAAGGAAGGCTTTAACATAGTAAAACTACATATAACAAAACAGGTATCAAGCAAGAATTACAGTTACAATATTTATATTTAATTTATCTTTTATCATAACTAAGGAAAACCATATCTATTCTTCAACTCCATCAAAGACTCCAGAAGGATATAATATTAACTAAGTAAACAGGAAGTACATTGTAAGCAACTTTCAAAAATTCTAGAATTGACAGAGACATGTCGCTGCCTGGACAATCACTCAAAGTTCTTCTGTGCCATTGGGGATCCATCTTCAGCCTACTAGAACTGCTAAGAGACTCTTCATCCTCTAGTGGCATGGATTTGAACCTAAGGGGAAGGCAAGATACTCAAGGGCACAAAATAGTTGTCCAGTTTACATTAACCAAAGATGCTGCCCTTTTCTCCATGGAGGAAGCCCAGTAAGCACAGTTTTGAACTAGGTGTTTTGTTTCCTGAAGAAACTAGCTACCTAAATTTAATTGCAGCCTATTGGAACATATGTTTAAGTCCATGGAAAGCAGCTTGTACTTTTTTACCAAGCTGGAGGGAAGACAGAGGGACGGCAGTGTTGGGTGTGAAAGCTAATGGCGTAAAATCTAAATTCTTCCAGGACTGGCCTAATCAGGGCAAGACCCCCTGAGTCGCTCTGGGGACATCTGTCTTCTAGTGCTGAGGAAAGCAGGTGTCCAAGATGACAGGCACACTCACCAGGGGCTGTTTAATTTGTACCTAGGACATTCTGCTGAGGAAGGCAGGGAACACATCGATGATGTACAGTAAAAATAGAAAGTGTGCCTTTCAAACTTGGAACGACTGGAGCTTACGGCTTCGTGTCTGGGTCCCTTGATGGCCAACTAACGCTCCAACAATTTTAAAACAAGGCTTCTTTTATTCTGTATATTTCAAGGTTGTCATGTACTGAGGGTTTTCTTGACCCAGATAACAAAGCCCCACTTCCCAGTTTCTAAGGATCAATGAACGGAGAAAGTAGAACTTGGAGGCATTCTCAGTACTTGGTTCCAGAAACCCTAATCTTAGTGTCGCAGGGATCAATGAGTCACTGGCTGCCTAGGTCTCTCTCAGCTTCAGTTTTCTTTCTTTTCTTTCAAACAAGTTGTGAAAAACAAACCAACAAAAGGCATTTCAGTCCTTGTCTGTGCATCGGGTACCAACAGATGGCACCGTCTAGGGTCGGGAAGTTAATGGCCTTTTTAGAATCTGGGTCTTTGGAAAGTGTCATAGAGAAGGGAGAGGAAGCCTTTTTTGTTTCCCTCTGGACCACCTCTACTTTGGAAATGTGTCGACATGGTTTCTTTTTCTCCACTCTAGAAGACTATGGTAGCAAGTTAAAAACCAATCAATTAGAAGGACCTGGCTAGAACCAAATACAGGCCAAACCTGTTCATCATTTGAACATTGCTTACTCTTCCCCTTGGCCTTCTGCAGCCTTTGTTTTTAGGTGAGAAGAGGGAACAGGAAACAACAAAGCACAGAACTTTGAGGGTCTCACTTCCCAAATGTCCCCGTTGATCAACTTTCAGTTACTGTAACACACACCAGCAATAAGTCAGCTTCTAGAGACGAGGTTTGCTTTACTCCTGATGTTGTAGCAGTCCATCAGCTGGACCCTTGCTGTGACGATTCACCTTAGCTAAAATGGCATAGTAGAACAAAACTCTTTTCTTAAGCCCAGGATGTAAAAGAAGAGAAAGATTGATGGATGGTCCTACTATCCCTTCAAGAACCTCTAGTGAGTCTAAGACCTCCCACTTAATCCCAAATCCTGAAGGTTTTGCACCACAGACTGGAGACTAACACATGATCTTTGGGGGAAACTTATCCAAACTACAGCAGCACTTTGTCCCTGAAATGGACCTAAATACTTCCATGTCTGAAGGCTCCTGAGTGTCATGACATCTGCATGATCTCTGGGCACCCAGTAGCTCTGGCATACTATCCTATGAGCTGGGTTCTTACTGATGTAGCTTCCTCCAAGACACTGGGAGATCACCCCTGGAATGAGGGAAAGAGTGTTGTTGAATGACGTCATAGCTGCTGTACCCAGGACCTCAGCAACAGTGGCTTCCTTCACAATTCCACAGGGCTGCATCTGTCAGCATCCCAGCTGCCACTCTAAGAGAAAGAAAGGGTACGGGGTTATGGTTTGTCCCCTGGTACATCGCCCCTTACTCAAGCAGTAACCCTAATTAAATGAGGTCTCTCTCCCTAAATCACTCTTTAAAAACAAAACAAACAAACAACCACAAAGAAAAAACTACATGAAAGTAGGAGGATACTTGAAAAGAAAGAATTAGGTGGGCAGGGGAAGGATGAGAGGGATAATTTTACTCCAAGATTATATATATATTATATATACACATATTACACATGCATGCATACATATATACATACACACATATTTGATTACAAGTGTATGCAAATATTATTTGTATTTTATACATGCATGCATTATATATAGATATAGATATATACTTACATAAATATACACATGAAATTGTTAAAGAAATAAAGCTTAAAACAAGAAACTTTGAAGTCAAATGGAAATGTACTGGAGAAGAGGTTCTAAACAGAATGGGCCATAGTCAACTTTTCTTATATAGAGAAATTGTTGACACTTGAAAGATAAACCAGACAGAGTGCTTTTGAAATTGCTGAAGTTTACATTAGAACACTGGCTATCATGTTGCTGTTTACTCCCCAGTGTGTGATATAAATGATTAGAAAGAAACCAACCACAGATTCCGTGCTATGTAAAAGTTAAATGACTGAGTGGTTTCAGGTGCATCATCTCACCTGCTTCCCTGTAGAGACAGCGGGACTGGTGCTATCTGTTTACAGGTGGAGGATGGTCTTGGAAGCACTTCCCAACCTAAACCTTCCAGTTTCTGGGCTTCAGCTCTGTCCTAACTCTGCCCACAGTCATTCTTTCATCCCATGTTAATAACGATGTCTTCTTTTCTAAATCAGCCCAGCGTTCATGTACTCATCAGTTGAGGTAAATGTTTTCTCTTGATGTTATGCAGGGGATCGCTTTGGTCCAGGAGCCACCAGTGACCCAGAGGCATCGTTCCCTATTCAAGATGTCCTGGAAAACTACATTTACTACTTTCAGAGTGTTCATGAAAGCATTGAGCCGACACATGATGTGTTTAGCTTTTATGTGAGCGATGGAAACAGTCGCTCTGAAATTCACAGCATCAATATCACCATTGAGGTAAGGATTTTAGCCGTTGGAGATGAAGCCTTCAGCCATACACTAGCCCACTCTGAAAAGAGCCGTCCTTAAACCATGTGATGTCCTAGTCTTAAACAAGCACCCTTACATTGACTCACAGCTAAGGGTTGGATGTGACCTTCAACTTCAAATATCAGTTTTAACACATAACCCTGGCCTTCTGGAAATGTGTGAAATCATAGTTGGCATTTGAGTAAGGGCAGGGTTGGAAATCTGGATTTCTGTTTTAGTAGAACATGTATTTGTTCTGGGTAAAGCAGTTTGGCGGAAGCAGAGAAGCCACACCACTCCCACATTAGATGAAAACAAACATGCCCATTTTCTCTGATATTATCACATGTGGGTCTGCGTACATGCTTGCCTTTTTTAAAAAAATTATTTATTCACTTAACAATAACACCAAAGAAATTTGATCCCCAATCCCGCACTTATTTTCATTTGAGAAACTATTATGATAGTCTTGCTTTATGATATCAAAGAGGGGAAGAAAAAGATAAAAATCTCAGAATGGATGAATGCCCTCTGCCTTGGGGAAATAAAACATGTGGAACTTTCAACCACTATAAGGTCCAGGATTGGAGCAGGGCTGGGAGGCAGCAGAGGAAGCTTTGCCAGTGTTGTGATGTTCTCTAGCTACGGTGGTATGTGTAAAATAGCCTTTGATCCTCAAATGTACTTGTATTTCTAAATCATACGTCCATCATTTAAGTCTAGAAAAATATGGTCCACTGTACCCCTGGAAAACATCTTAGAAACTGTTTATAGAATTCCCATCAGCCTTCTGCTTCTGTGACTTTTTATTTTTAACTAATATTTTGACAAGGCAGTAAGCACAGTGAACATTAATGCTGTGTGGCTAATGAGAGCGGTTGCAGTCGTGACGAATTCTCCTGAGGCGTGCTGCTTCCTTCGTAAGCTAACATCTGTGTGAGACCCAGTCTTTTCTCCCTTAACCAGAGGAAGAACGATGAGCCTCCCAGGATGACCCTTTGGCCGCTCAGAGTGCGGCTGAGCTCAGGAGTGGTGATAAGCAATTCTTCCTTGAGCCTACGAGACCTGGACACCCCAGATAACGAGCTGATTTTTGTATTGATGAAAAAGCCTGACCACGGTAAGACACAAGCCACCGTGGAAAGCGGCGGCTTAATTGAGGTGCCTGACGGGTGGTGAGCACCGGCTTGCAGATTGCTTCCTTTTCCTTCCCTACTTACAGCCCATTCTTTGCATCCAAATATAATCAGATTCACAGCTAGCCAAGAGCCTTTGGAGTTGCGGTAGACGCTGTTTTAAAAGCCTGCGTGCTAAGGAATTGGCGTCTCTGAAATTCCACTTCAGCTCTTTCCTTGCTCTCCTGGTTTCAATGTTTGCATCTTACAGGGTGGATTTGTCGTTTGCTCTCCAAGGCTTCCTCGTGCAGCCTGTCCCTTACGTTAGACGTCTCTTACGAACCTATTCTCTCTGCAAGGGGAGCAGTCTTTAATTCGAAGCCAATGTAGGAACTACTGTGGGGACCCTCCACCCCCTCCTCTAAATGCTACACCCAAGCATTACCTAAAGCTCCAGAGCCACACTGTGTATCAATCACTGTTAACGCAGGTTGGCCTTCCAAAGACTGAACTGCTGCTGTTGCGCAGGGTTGATGGTGGAAGAGGCCACTGGCCACTGCATTTGCAGCTTGCCTGCATTCACTTCCACTTTCTCTGACGAAGCATTCTGAACTGTACCCTTGGGGTGTGTGACCCCTTAAAAAAACGAACCTCGATATGAGCATGCTTACCACCTTCCTGAATGAAAAGGAGTTCAAAGCATAGGCCCTCGGTCTGCATCCTGTAGGCAAAGGACAGCGTGGAGTGCTCTATTCACTCTGCAGAAGGGAAAATACAGTTCAGATCATGAAGTGAGTTTGAATCCAGGGAGGGAGATGTGATCTCTAAGCTACTATATTATGACTTTCCTGTTTCTCCTTAGGAGAGTTTTCACCACAAGAGTGGGACTTTTTATTATTATTATTATTATTATTATTATTATTATTATTATTATTTATAGACAAGACCACAGGGCACAACCTAGTGTTGGCACCAAGAGTCTCTGAGATAGTTCTATGTAGGCTCATGCTAGTTGGCAAAACTGGGCTATGTTTTGATGACTCGAATATCTAAAACCATTGTTACTTGCTGTTCCTCTCTTGCTTCTGCAGGTCACCTACTCCGGAGGCACACCGCTTCTGACCCTCTAGAGAATGGGACTGTTCTAGACCAAGGCTCCTCTTTCACCTACCAGGATGTCCTGGCTGGGCTGGTCGGGTACTTACCTGGTGACAATGATATGGCGGTAGATGAGTTTCGGTTCTCTCTCACTGATGGCCTCCATGTAGATGCGGGGAGGATGGAGATCTACATAGAACTGCCTACAGGAGACACGCCCCACTTGACAATAAACCGAGGACTTCAGCTCTCGGCAGGTGTGGTGGCCCAACTTTCTGTCACATGACACACATCTCCAAGAAGCATTGTAACAGGAAGCATATTTCTCTGGGCTCATGGTTTCATGGGCTTTCGTTCCTCATTGGCTGCCTCGGGTGTTTTCTGTGCTAAGGAAAAACACCATGGCAAAAGCAGGCATAGTAGATCAGAGTGACTTACCTTATATGACAAGCATGAGGTAGAGACGGACTGGCGACCAGAACAATATCTAGCAAGATCCGAGGTCATACCCCAATGACCTACTTCCCCAGCTGGCTCTATCCCCTAACATTCTAAGCACCTTCCAAAAAAAAAAATGGCATCAGCTAAGAACCAAGCCTTCAATACATGAGCCCTAGAGAACAATCCATATTCAAACCACAGCAGTTCTGGCAGGAGCTGAGAGTAGCCTCATTTTTCCATAGTTATTTAATTTTTAGCCCATGTAGAGTGACCCTTCTTCCATGCTGGTGGTGTAGATGAACCTTAGGGGAGCTAGTCAACATTTAACAAAAAGTAGAGTTTGGGGAAATTGCTGTTTACAAACACTGAGTTGTGGATAAGAAATATAAGCCAACGAAATTCCCTGGACAAGACACCTCTTCTGAATTTGAGAACATTTTGTGCAGTGTTTACCGTGTTTTCAGTATCCTCAAAACCATAAGGTGCCGCTTAGACCCAGGCCTCCTGTAGCAGAGCCTCTGTCCAGCCAGCATCATGGGACCCAACAACAAAAGAATTCTGGCCAGACTTCCGAGATGTTTAATTTTTTAAGAAAATTAAAAAGGCATGGGAGAGCAGTTGGGAGGCTACCAGGAATCAAAAGATTATGCAAATACTTGCAAATTACTCTAGCTTCAAATTGTCACACTTTTGCCATGTTTGGCAGCATTAAGAGAGCAATGGCATGCATTAGCCGTGAACTTCCTATATAGTAAGATGAACAGGGAGTGGACCTTGGACTCGAGTCTCAGTGCCCTGGGATTCTAAGTTATCTAGTCCTAGTTTCTCATATATTTTGTACTGAAAAATAAATACATGGTATAAATAAAAGTTGCAATTTTGAGAATTACCAAAGCATCTAGAATTTCACTACTTCCAAGCAGAGTGGTCTGATACATGGATTCTAGGAGAAGACATGATTTTTTTCCCCAATTGAAGAAAAAGTACTGAATTGCTTGGAGTGTGGCAGGCAGCATGGAAATCAAAGTCCAAACCACTTCCCTCTGTCCTCCCAGACACAAGAGGTGTTATGGAGGGACCACAGGGATGAGGTCACACGTACTGGGATACATGACACAAGAGGAACAGTGAGACTGGGGATATTCCATATTCTAGAAAACTCTGAGCAAGTCTGATCTTTGTCCCAAGGAAGCCATTGCCCCATCTGTCAAGGTCACTTACTAAGAGGTGCTTGGGTAGAGTGCCAAAGGCATTCTTGCCTGAAAGTGTCTGCCACTCCGAATACCTGAACACGTGGCACAGATGGTGAGCGTTTACTAGTGCTGGCTGTTTGTAAGATGAGAAAGTAGCCAGGCAGGAAGCCAAGGGCAGGACTCTGAGAAGCGTTTACGGTAAGTGTCTTGCCCCGTCTCCAGTTTCTACACAGCTCCTCAACCTGACCCTTGAGCTTAGTGTACCTTCTGACTTAGGAGACACTGATTTTGACTGTTTCATCTGAGGTCACAATGAGATATGTTTATGAGCTTATGTACAACTGTTTTTTTTTTTTTCTGATTTGGTTATACTAAAGACACCCAAGAGATTGAATCGAAGCAGATTCTAGATCTCAAACTTACTTGCATCACAAAAGTACGCCTTACCAGGTTCTAACTGGCAGGCTACTACAAGAGCAAGCACTAGAAAGAGTAAAAGTGGACACAAACAAAGGGCATAGTTCTAAATGATTTTATTTAGGGAAATTAGAGTTTATTCAGCTGGAAATGGAGACAGGCAAATGCCTGGCACATGGGCCCAAGTAACGTGCGATAAAAAAAAAAAAAAATCATTTGGCATCCCATTTGAAGGCAATGGTGGGGAATGACCTTCTCTCTCCCATTCTTCCCCAGGGTCTGTAGCACGCATCTCAGAGCGGGACTTGAAAGCGACAGATGCTGACTCAGATGACGGCCAGGTTATATACATCATGAAGGAAGACCCTGGTGCAGGGCGCCTGCAGATGGCGAAGCCTGAACCCCCGGAGCAAATCTCTGTTAGAGGCCCCATCCGCAGCTTCAGCCAGGCAGACGTTAACCAAGGTCAGCCTATTTTCCCCCTGCCTATCCAGGTTCTCTAAGCTCTGTCTGGTATAATAAAGGGGGGTTAAGTGCCTGGCAGCTTATGGCAGGAACCCATGCATTCTTTGATTCTGATATGAGCTGAGTTATAGCTTCATTTTTTTTCTTGGTCTCGCTTTTCTTTTGTTTTAAAAAAGAGAGAGAGCTATTTTTTTTCTAGGCAAAAATAAATGTATTTTCTGAGAAATTTGAGGCTATGATAGCGGGAAAAGATATCATTTTGTCTTGCTGCGTTGCTAAAAAGTATGTGTGCGAGAGCAAAAGAGAAAAGAAGCGAGTCGAGATGGATTATGGTAAAAATTATGCCTTCCTTAGGTGAGCAATTTATATCTCCTCCTGGCTCCCCAAAGAGCACAAGTTAATGAACTAAGCGAAATGGAAGGACATAAATTGGAGCTGCCTGGGGGAGATTACACGGCTCATCCCTCCTTCAGGAAATGCTGATGTAATGCAAAGGCCTGGGTGTTAAATGCTACACAGTTACTGTGCAGTGCTCTCAGGGCCAGAGAAGGAAAAGGAGTCCAAAGACATGTGACCCGTGCAATTCCTTTTAGAGGTAGAAATATGCCACCCCCCCCACACACACACAAGGAGCAGGACTATGGGCTCTGTCAGTGTGCTGACGCCTCAACCCGAGATCAGCTGGGTATTCACTGGGTCTGTGGGTCATTGAAGAGGTGCTGAGCAACGGCATAATAGTAGTTATTTAATTACTGCATCCTCTGTGTCTCCCGGTGGAGACTGAGACCAAGCAGCTCGTCCGAGGGTCTGGTTCTGTTTACACTGATGGGTCCATGCAAATGATTCGAGCTGACAGAATGGGATGCACTGTTTTCTTTTCATGGAGCCTTTCTGACTTCTTTGTGAAGATTATGTGCCAGCTTATCTATCTGTTGGATGTAGCCTGCAGCATGATTAATAAAAACTCAGAGACAGATATCGGGGTTCATCCTGAAGATCAGAAAAGCAAAGTAGCCAGTCACTGCCTCTTACCGTATCTCCTTAGTCAGGAAATGGTGATCCTACCTCCAGGAATCTCAGAATGAGACTGAGCCTGAGAGCTGTCTCCTCCCATCGTATATTCCTCTCTAGTGCTGGGATTAAAGGCATGTACCATTGGGATTAAAGGCATGTACTGCCTGGTTTCTATGGCAACTAATGTAGCTACTGGGATTAAAGGTGTGTGTTACCACTGCCTGGTTAGGCTGACCGGTGGGGCTGTTTTACTCTCTGATCTTCAGGCAAGCTTTATTTATTAAAATACAAACGAAATCCCACTACAGTAGCTGGTAGTCTTCCGTGTACTGGGCCATGGGGAGGGAAAGGACCCCGAGAGGCAGACCGAGGGCCTGTACTCTCTTGCCTTGTGAAGTGGGTACGTTGGAGGGTCTCTCCAAATGATGTGGGCGTGGTCAGTGCACATTGTACACATGTGCAGTTTCACTCATCTAGTCGTTCTGATTATTGATGTAGTTATAAGGCCATCTTGGAACCTAAGCTAGGTCCTTCAAAAATGCTGAGCATAAGAAATGTCACTTGGAGGAAGTTTGTTATGGGGAGGTTTTAGGACATGAGGAAGACAGTGGTAGGAGAGGAAGAGAAGAGATGAAAACTGAAGATTTCAACGTCAAAATGGTGCCAAGTGGGGAAGGTGGAAACCGAGTCCTTGATGTGAACACCACCTGGAGTTCCACCTCTCACTTCAGAAATAAGTAGCAAACAGAACTAATAACAAATCTTGATTTTTGTTTGTTTGTTTTTCTCTTCCTTTTTATAGGGCACATAGAGTACAGCCACACACCAGGAGAACATGGTGGGAGCTTTGCTTTTAAATTTGATGTGGTTGATGGAGAAGGCAATAAGTTGGCTGACCAGTCATTCGCCATCAGTGTTTTAGGTAAGGGGTGTCAGGTTTTCCAGCAGAAAACAGCAGCTCTGTAGTCTCCACGTGTTCGCTTTGGAGCTTGAGCCCTCCTTCCTTCCAAACATGTGGTAAAGGTGAAAATCTAAAACTGTCCCCTTGCTGAGGCCTTTGAGAGACAGCTCCGAGGATTCTGCTGAGCCTACCTCCTGGGTACCAGACCTGAAGCTGGGGGGGCTGCAAACCTCCGTGATGAACCATTGTTTCTGGTATTTTCAGAAGCCAAATCCCTACCGGTCATCACCACCAATAAAGGGCTGGTCCTGGATGAGAACTCAATGAAGAAAATCAGTACTGCAGAGCTCTCAGCTACTGATGAGGATAGTGAGCCTGCAGAGCTGATCTACAGAATCACCGCCCAACCCCAGCTGGGCCGCCTGGAGCATGTGGCATCACCAGGTATGTGGGCATCTCTTGCTCCATCCTGCAGACTCGGTAAGTGCTGGGGACTGCTGCGTTCTGTGCGTATACACCCACAGTCTGTCTTAATTATCTTTATTTTCTGCCTCACTAATTTTTACCATTATATGTTGGTACATTGTATACAATACAATTGGTACATTGTATTTGGTATACATTAAACACTTTATAATAGTTGGTAAAACTAAATTAGAAAAAGAATGACCATGTGGAGTAAGGAAATAGCTCCTTGGAGGTGGGTGTAACCTAAATATGAGTAAAACCCTAGATGTGACCATTAGAAATACACACAAAAAAACCCCTATTATTTTAGGTGAACACTCATCTCCATAACTAGATAGCCAAAATCTTTAAACTATACCCTCTGGTCTTTGACATTAACTTGACTGCAATGCACAGTATAATGTCCTGTGTTTAAATATTGACCTCAATAGGGACTGTAACTCAGTGGTCTGGTGTGTATTTAGCATACATGAGGCCTTGGGCTCAGTCCCCAGCACCAGCGGGGAGAAAAACTGAATTCAACAGAGGGTGAAGGAGAATGTGTACCAGACAAGACTGCAGTTCAGCAGCTACTTAGGAAGCAAAGATGAACGAAATGAATCCTTACCCTCTGAATTTCTCTACTGTGGGGAAGGGAACCTTCCTAGATCCTGTAACTCGGGGAGGACAGGTGTAGACCTGGAGTTGAAGGAGTCCAAAAACCAGAAAGTCCACACTGAGTAGGGTTTCAGTATGTCCCTAGGAGTCAGAGTTCGGGGAAGTTAGGTTTGCATTCTTTTCAGAGGTGGAAAAAGTAGAAACCAACAAAAGTGGACCATATTAGCATAGGCTAAAATAGTAGGAGCTAGGACTCATGGGTACATTTGCATACTGTGGAGAGTTCTCCATGCTGAGATAGATCATTTCTGCTCACCAGAAAAAGATTAGAGTGTCACTGTAGACTTTTGAGCAGGGGAGGAAGTCACATATCCGATGGAAAGAAATGGGAGAAGGAAAAGTGAGACAATGACCACGGTAAGGAAGGTTCCACACCAGGCCTGCAGATTGCAATGAGGCTTCTTCACCTGCACAGGCAACTGTGGCAACATAAAGGGGGAATATGAGAGTGACTGACAGGTCCCTTTGAAGTATTCACTCAGGTGATCCGGGAGAAGGAGAGCGAGAGAAGAGGGGAGGGGCTTCAGGGGAAAGCCTGTAGAATCTGGCAGTTGTAATGACGTGAGGGCCCCAGATACTTGCCGACTAAATCTAAAGGTAGAATTGCCGTCACTTCTTAGAGGCAGGGACAACTTGAAAGGTTTAGGTCTTTCTTGGAATTTCATAGGATTTTATATGACAGATTCTTCAATCCATGCAAAACATCAAGTCCGGGGACATGGCTGCCCTTGCAGACTCGTCTTCTCATGCAGAGTCAAGTGTAAGCAGACAAACACGGGAATCTTTGCCACAGACCAGGTATTGTTAGGGATCCTGAGGATGGCATGAGTGTTCAGAGGCCCAGTGGGAAGTGGGAAAGGCCTCCCTCACAAGAGTATGACATTTGAGGAAAGTTGAAGACAGAGAAGGAGTGGGCCATGCTGGTGAATAAGAAGAAAAAGGATTGGCAGAGGCATGAGCAACTGTAGTATCCTGAAGAGGGCTCAGCCAGGCAAGTCACTCTCATGGCTCAGTTAGGAGGGCAGTGTGCTTTAAAAGGCAGAGGGGAAAGGTTGAGAGAGAAGACTTCCCTCGGCCCCACCTGGTGGTAGAGAGGGTGCCCAGTGCATGTGGAAGGGGGGGTCCAGAAAGGAATGAGCAGATTGGCAAATTAAAGAAGCCTTTTGTCCCAGAGTTCCTGCGGGAAATATGCAGATTAGCACCCTCTATACCTTGCTGCCTGAGATAGTTAATAACTAATTCATAAGCTAATTGCTTCTGCCAGAATTCTGTCAGGTTGCTGATTGTATCTCCACAAAGATGAAAGGGCAGGCTCTTGGCGGTGGTGTTGGGCGGCGGCGAATGAATGGATTTAAAAAAAAAACCCAGCTTCATGCAAGGCCTTGCCAGTTGCCCACCTATTGGGCAGTCCCAGCCCTTGTTCTCCTCTGACCCCAGGCTGCATCACAGTCCTATGGGGTGGGACGGCATGCGATTTCTCTTTTTTTTTTTTTTTTTCAATTCTGCTAAGACCAAGCTGTACCTGTTTCAGGAGATACCATGCTCTTGCCTCTTCCAGGGATGGTACCCACCCAACCCCCCAAGGCAGAAGGATTCCCATTTTATCTAGGATGTTGCTTTATAGGCTCTTTCCGAACAGCCCTAACTTCCTGATGCATGCTGGCTTCAGTCCCACCAGCATTTCTTAACCCACCCCTTTCCAGTCACAGAAAGTGGTTGATGGGAATGTCGAGTCCCGTGTTCCCGTCTCCCCCCCACCCCACCCCATCCTCATAGCTGAGGGTCCCTCCTCATTTTCACAGAGCGGGGATTTCCCCACCCCTCCCTTGCTCTAAACCAAGAACAATTCCCCTTTCATGCATTTAACCAGGATCATCTTCTGCTGGTCTCCCCACCCTCCTGTTAGAACATCATGTATTGGTTCCTTTTGAGTGGCCACAGTATGCTTGGAAGGAGTACATGTAGATTACCTCGTATCCTCCCAGCACAGTTAGCTAAGACTTACACTGGAACATTTGTCCCTGGTAAGCCTGAGTCTACCAGGATCTGGAGTTGGGACAGGGCCAGTTCTTCCCGAGAGCAGAGCAATTTGTAAATACATTTAGGTGTGCCTCTTAACAGCAGGGACTGAGGCCTCCTAGACAAAGCTCTGTCCTCCAATGTGTGCTAGCTAGCCCCTCTTACTTGCTTGCACAAAGTGGACTTATCACCAGACAGCCATGAGATCTGATGTCAGCTGCTCAGAACTGATTGTGACGCTAACAGAGTCAAAAGAGTTATGTGAAACCTCTTTTCCCCTCTGTGAACTGTGCGGAAGGTGGGCATGAGCCTCCCACTGCTGAGAGGCAAGGCTGGGGGTCCAGGCCTCATGGAGCTCTGATTCAGGTTAGAAGACCACTCTGTCACCCTGACCTTTCCCTCCTCCCCTATGCCCTAATGACTTTTTTTTTCCTTGGGAAATTAGAATTAAGACTGATACTAACTAGGAAAAAAAGCTAAGATACTAGAACAAAAAAAAAAAAAAAGCCCAGAAAGCACGAAATGTATTTTCTATCACAGAATGATCTAGAGGCCTAAGGTGGGAGGTAGCTCCACCTCTGGTTCATGGTGGCTGCTGTAGTTGACTTGTGCGGAAGGAAGAAAGCCAGGGGCTCGGATCCCATGTACTGTGTGTTTTAGCAGTACTGCGGGATGGACAAACTCTTGTGTGGTGATGTCCACACACAGCTGAGAGGTGGAGACACATGGAGCATCTCCCTGGGCACCCAGTTGTTTACACTTTTCACTCAGGGAGGAATAATATTAGAATATAGCTCTCTCCAGCATGGCAAGACCAGGGATCAAGAGCTCGTCACTCCTAAGGTGTAAGTAGTCACACTGACTCAAATACTGGGGTGGTAGTGGTAACTAGATTGATTTTTAGAGGACAGAGATGGAGGGCCATATTATGTCTTGCAATGAAATGGCTCTTTCCTGAACCAAATAATTACTATGCATAAAACTCCTATATTGCTATCAACGAGGAACTGTGACAATCAAACCAAAATCTGTATCCTTGTCTCGATTTTAATTTTATCCCCCCTCGAGTGTATTGATAGCATTGAGGCTCTAGCAGGCAACAGAACATACAGCTCTGACCCCTTAATGATGTATCTTCCCTCCAAGGACCTCAGGAGGTGTGGAGTAGCTGCTGTCCCTAGCATACTTAAGGAATCCTGCTGGATTCCTCTTGCAGGTACAACACACCATCCTCAAAGCTGAAGTGAAGTACTGCTTTCTTGGCCAGACCAAGAAAAATCTCTCAAAGACTATGAGTACTCTTAACAGCATTTGGGGACCCAGTGACCGGCCCTCTGTTGATGGGTCACCAGTACTTATATCAATATGCAAGGTTGACCTCGTGGCCTTGTTCCCTGCCAGAGCCACTAGGTGCCCAACCTGAGAATCTGATAACCTTTCTGGGTGATGGCATTTCATTTAGTAAGGGTGGAGTTTGACTTCTGGTCCACAGGAGTACTGCCAGGGAACCCCAAAGGCAGGTCTCTCCATCTGTAAGCACCAAAGTACCTTGATTCTATTTGAGGCATTGACTAAGGAGATGTGCTGTTCACAGAGTCTAGGTCCACTTAGCCTCTGTGAATGGTACGGTACATGAGGAGGCTCATTCCCCAAGCCTTCTAAAAATGTGCATTTTCCACCATTCTGAGAGCTGCATGCCTACCTTAAGAGATCTCTCTGCTTTCAAATCTTAAGTCAAGCAACTGAATAGTTAGTTCTACCTTTGTGTATTTACTAATCGCTTGAAGCCTGTTGTTCATTACCAAGCGCACCATTGTCCTTTCAGGCTGAAGCATTATTTGGTGCAGGGTGGATCGCATGTGGCTGTTGTGAGCCACAGGAAAGGGTTCTGCACTAAAAGCTAACTTACCACAGTGTTGCCATAACTTGCGGCTCTTTGACCCACCCTTGCTTCCAAGATGTCCCTTCTCAGAGGCATTTCAGTCAACCTCCTCAACCCCCTTAAGGAATCCTGCTGGATTCCTCTTGCAGGTACAACACACCATCCTCAAAGCTGAAGTGAAGTACTGCTTTCTTGGCCAGACCAAGAAAAATCTCTCAAAGACTATGAGAACTCTTAACAGCATTTGGGGACCCAGTGTCCGGCCCTCTGTTGATGGGTCACCAGTACTTATGTCAATATGAAAGGTTGACCTAGTGGCCTTTTTCCCTGCCAGAGCCACTAGGTGCCCAACCTGAGAATCTGATGACCTTTCTGGTGACCCCCCCCCCGAAACATAACTACCTTTCAAACACAAATG